CAATAAGGAGTTCATGATCTGAGCCACAGTCAGCTCCTGGTCTTGTTTTTGCTGACTGTATAGAGCTTCTCCATCTTTGGCTGCAAAGAATATAATCAATCTGATTTCGGTATTGACCATCTGGTGATGTCCATGTGTAGAGTCTTCTCTTGTATTGTTGGAAGAGGGTGTTTGCTATGACCAGTGCATTCTCCTGGCAAAACTCTGTTAGCCAAGGAGACCACTGGGTAAACGGTGAAAACACTGAAATGGACCATGAGAGACGGGAAGTTTTCCAGTTAGGAGTCTCGAGGATGTGAGGGAGGTTAGGTAGACGAGAGAGAGGGCACCGTAATGAGCCTGAAGAAGGAGGACCCGGCAGAGAACCCACCGGAGAGATCGTAGGGTGCCACTGAAGGCGTCTAACAAGGACACTGTGTACTCAAAACCATGTGATGTGAGATTAATACGGCACCATGTGAATGGTGGAAGAGGGAGGGATTACAGAAGGGGAGAACAGTTAGGTAAATATGTTAAGAGTGAGTAGCTAATGAACTAGGTGTCGGGTGGGGAGGTAGGTGGAGCTGGAAAGGACACATGGAAGAGATACTTTGGATCTGGAATGGTCCAAAGGGAACAACTGACTGGATACAGAGGATGAGAGTGCGGAAGTCAAAGGTAACCTAGTCATTCTTGTCCTTGGTAGTTTGGAGAACGGGAGGGGTTTCTTAACAGAAGCAGAGAAGTCAAGGCGGAACACGTTTGTGAACTTCGGTTGAGCCCAGGGGTTAGGCCACTTGTTTCTCAATAAAAATGTATGTACCTGTTTAAAAATTACAAATGTTAGTCTGTACCCCTTGAGATTTTAAGACTAGAGTGAGGCTTTAGCATCTGTACTGTTCCCAGTTGGTTCTGATACATAGTTAGGGTTTAGAACCACTAGACCAGGTGTTTGTTTTAAATTATGTATTTATAATTCTGGGTGGAATCACTACTTCACATTGGCTATAGAATAAGAACTTAATGCATCCTCTCAAGGAACTCGGCCCAGTTGAGACAGGTTTATAGACTAAGAACTACACTGTTAGTGCTTTAAATTTTTTTTTAAAAAGGCATGAACTCAGCATTGTAAGGATATGGTATCTAGAACTATTAAGTAGGAGTTTATTAAAAATGTATGGAAGGGGACTTCTCTGGAGATCCAGTGGTTGACTTTGCCTTCCAACAAAGGGGGTACTGGTTCAGTCTCTAGTGGGGGTCTAAGATCCGATATGCCTCACGGCCAAAAAACCAAAACACAAAACAAAAGCAATATTGTAACAAATTGAATAAAGACTTTGAAAATGGTCCACATCAAAAAATAACAAAATGTAAAAACCGAAGGGAGGAGAGTGAGTAATGGAGAGCATGCTGGATCAAGAGAACAGCTCTGTAAAGGCACAGTGTCGGCTTAAACAGCTGGGCCTGCATGCAGGATATCCATCTGGGTTCCTTTTTGGTGGATAATTCTCAGCCAATAACATTTGAGGAACAGAAACGAAATGCTGCTTTTGCAGCAGTTTCATTGGTTTCTATTATCTTTTTCTATAGCACTGCTCAGCTTTATAAACCAGTTGTGACTGCCACCCTCCATCACTGCTGGGGTGGGGGTAGGGTTTCTCAGCCAGAAGGAACAGGGCCAAGAGCTGATCCCACTCCATCGTTTGTTAGTGGGGAGTAATTACGGGGCTTTCCCTCCCTCATCCCCATTCCCACCCTCCCCAGCGATTAACAAGTTGCCTACTGGGAAAAGAATTGACAAAAACCCTCAAGTGTCCTTACTGCTAGAGTCTTTTCTATCACGGATTTTGTGAATGAATGAATGGATGAATGAATGAATGAATGTGCTCACCTCTAACACGTGGGATTGTCTGTGTCTTCCATCCTGTTTTGTAAACAGTTGCACCTACTGGTTCCTCATAGCGAGTCTATGTAAAAGAATAGGAAAGATGTGGCAAGTGTGAAGTTCCATACAAAATCTGAAAGTCATCAGGCATTTTTCCCTTTAAATGAGTATAAGAATTGTAGGGGTTTGTCAAGTTGTCTTTGTTTTCATCGATCTGAAACATCAATGAGGTCAGAAATAAAGGTAAAGATAATGGTATACAACTGTCTCGTTCCATGTAAATGTCAACAGAATAATCAAATTCACTAACTGATTTGGTAGCATTTTTTGTTCAAAGCTATCACTACTTTTTGTTTTTTTTTAAACAGTGAAGAATGAAAATCTGGAAAACTTGGAGGAAAAAGAATATTTTGGAATTGTCAGTGTAAGGATTTTAGTTCATGAGTGGCCTATGACATCTGGTTCCAGTTTACAACTGATTGTCATTCAAGAAGAGGTAGTAGAGATAGATGGGAAACAGGTAAGATAGTACGCTTACTATCTGGGAATTAATTGTAAAGATTTGAGTTCAGTGTTATGCACACGTTCAGTTATTTATTTCTGACTTGATAAGGAAAGAAGCTACAGTAATGTTGCCTGTATCCAGTCATTTAGAATTGTCTACTTGTTTTAGCATTTACTTGTTTAGAATTTGAAGTCTTAATTTGAAAAAAGATCATCTTCATACATGTTTATATCCCTTAAAATTATGATCATTATTAAGCAGAGCAAGTAAGTGAAAAGACTGAATTTGGTTCGTAACTCTGCTGCCGTTTCTTCTGGCCAAGTCTCTCTTAAGTCAATGAAACGAAACTGAGAGCAAACCTCTGATAGTGAGTGCTGAAGCACACTGTGTGTGATTAAAGTTGCAAATTAATTGTCTTAAAGAGGAATTCTGTGAATAGGACAAGTTTTTTACTTTCAGAAATCAGGGAAGAAAATTCAGTTTTAGATTCTTACCAGGTTATTCAAAATAAAGAGTAATTGCATCTATTTTTTCATAGGCTCAACAAAAGGACGTTACTGAAATTGATATTTTAGTTAAGAATCAGGGAATAGTCAGACGTTCAAACTACACCCTGCCTTTAGAAGAAAGCATGCTCTACTCGATTTCCCGAGACAGTGACATTCTATTCACCCTTCCCAACCTCTCCAAAAAAGGTACTTTGAAAGACCATTATTTAAAGTATTAAGGAAATGATTTCTTTAATTGGTAACTTTTTCATCATAGTTTGGAAGTAAGCTTCTTTTAAAAATGCTTTATAACATGTATTGCTTTATGTATCCATTTTGTAAAATGTGGTCTGTGCTGATGACAGAGGGGCATTTTGCTGAAATAATCTAAAAATACATAATAAGAAATCATTCACTTAAGTTCATTAGAAGAGGAAATATCATTTTTTCCACTGAAACACAGAACTTAAAAAATTTGACTTTCTATGTGACAGAATTGTAACTGCTGTAGCTCCCTTCTTACTGTCTTAATTTGAGGTTCCTTTCTGGCATTTAAATCTAAATAATCAAATGTTTGTTTTTCTCCCACGAAAAAAAACGGATGTTCTCACCATCCCAAATGTTACTGGTGCAGAGGCCTAGAACTGGTGGGAGAGTCACCAGCACGTGCTTAGCATTTGGGTAACCTGGCTTTTCCTTCTCAGGAGACAGTGTTAGTTCATTGCAGACCACCAGCCAGTATCTTATCAGGAATGTGGAAACCACTGTAAATGAAGCTCTACCTGGCAAGTTACCTGAAACTCCTCTCAGAGCTGAGCCTCCATCTTCATATAAGGTAAATAAGGTATCTGGGATTATCTTTATATGTGTAACAAGCATTTATGGTTATGGTAAAGAAAATAAGTGCTAGCGTTTTAAATGAGGTGGAAACCATGAGAATTTGATCCATGGGACGTTGTTAATAATGAACTCATCACTGTTTTAATGTGACATTTTTAGGTATTCCTTTTTTCCTTCTTAGTAATGTAGTCAGATGATGATGGTTGAGGTATAGATTTCAGTTTGTTTGGGGGTCTTTCTCATATCCCCATTGGTCTGTTTATTCTGTGACTTCATGCATGCACACATGTACACATACACACAGTCCCCTCAAGACCTTGTACAGTGACTTAGCACACTTGGTTGAGTGTACTTTCTGAAATCAGACTGCCTAGGTTTGAATCCTGGTTCTGCCACTGACTAGCTGTGTCAGCTGGGACAAGTTCCTAGCCTCTCTAACCTTTTTCTTTATGTGTACAGCAAAGGTCCATAAAGTGATGCCTTTTCTATGAGGTTGTTGTAAGCATTTAAATAAGATGGGTGCAAATGTAAGTATACATTGGCACCTGTTAAGTAGTCACATATGATTAATAATAGTATACTGCTGACTGGGAAGACAGGGTTCAGAGAGTATGGTGAAATCTCTGTTAGCTCAGCCCCTTACTCAAAATAATTTACATTTAAATGAGCAGGATATGTGCTTAGTAACACAAGATTGCAGAGATGATTCTTTGAAGAGGTTCTCACTGAAGGTTAGGATTGCTTGCTTTGGGTTACTGGAGAAACCTTGGTCATTTTTTGAATGCCTGAACTCTGGTGCCCTTACTAATCTTACTCCATCTCTCTCAGAGCAAGGAAGAGCAGACTCTTCAAAGTCCTTGCCATCAAAGCATGCCCAGGTTTCATCTGTCACTGTTGAAGTGCGCAGTGAACCCCCCATCACCAGTGGGCATCACCGACTTGATGGACATGAGTTTGAGCAAGCTCCGCGAGTTGCTGATGGGCAAGGAAGCCTGGCGTGCTGCAGTCCATGGGGTCGTAAAGAGTCGGACATGACTGAGCAACTGAGCTGAACTCCCCATAGGGTTCCAAAAGCTACGAATATGTCTGTCACTCCTTCCTTCTGTTGTCTTTCAAATACTGGAAACACATAGCTGACAGGTCCATTCTGTATAAGTGGACTAGCCTTCTTGTCATGCATGCTTAGATACTCAGTCATGTCTGACTCTTTGGGATCCCAGGGACTGTAGCCTGCTAGGCTCCTCTGTCCATGGAACTTTCTAGGCAAGAATAGTAGAGTGGGTTTCCATTTCCTCTTCAGGGGCTCTTCCTGACCTAGAGATCAAACCAGTGTCTCTTACATCTCCTGCATTGGCAGGCGGATCCTTTACCACTAGTGCCACTTGAGAAGCCCTTTATAGTTAAGACAACACGTATGAATAACTGTAAAGGATAGTAACATGTAACAAACGTTTATGCTTCTTTTGCTAGAAAACAATTTTTAAATTGTAAATAACTTTGAGGTACATTTAAAAAATTAAATGCACCCATTTAAAATGTACAGTTCAGCAAGTTTTGACAAGTGTAGATACCCATGTTACCACCATTACAGTCAGCATGTATAAATGTTACCATCACCTAAAACTAGAACATAATTTTTAAAGTTTCTTAGAGCTCAAATGAAATTTGCTTATCTAATAAAAACTTTTTTTTTTTTAGGTGATGTGTCAGTGGATGGAAAAGTTCAGAAAAGATCTATGCAGGTTCTGGAGCAGTATTTTCCCGATATTCTTTATGTTTTTGAATGTCATGGTGGTTGGAATTATAGGAGCAATTATAGTAATAACCATCTTAAAGGTGCTTTTCCCAGTTTGTGAATACAAGTAAGTATTTCTCATTTTTTATCAACTTTAGTATTTTTAATGATTAAAAAGTAGTTGTATTTACTATAGAGTAGAAAATATAAAAATTAGGAAAAATAACACAAGTGGGGGGAAAAATAATATATCTCTTTTTTTCTAGTCCATCTTTCAGCTTTAGCAAAATTAAAAGACATTTATTGGATACCTATATGGTCAAGACACCTGTCTTGGGAATTCACATGTGGATAGGACAAACTCTGCTCTGTAAGAACTTAGTATATCGGAGAGAAAGGAAACAAGTGTCTATAACGGAAAATGCATTGTGTATAATAAGAAATAAATGAAACGAGGGCTTCACTATGTATTTTCAACTGCAAAGTATCAATTTAAAATGCAGTAAATTTTTTAAGACTAGCAAGGTATTTTAGTAACACGAGAAAGTAAAAGAACGTAAAAGTGAAAGTTGCTCAGTCGTGTCCAACTCTTTGGGATCCCATGGACTATATAGAATTCTCCAGGCCACAATACTGAGTGGGTAGCCTTTCCCTTCTCTAGGGGATCTTCCCAACCCAGGGATTGAACCCAGGTCTCCTGCATTGTAGGCGAACTCTTTACCAGCTAAGCCACAAGGGAAGCCCAAGAATACTGGTGTGGGTAGCCTATCTCTTCTCCAGTGAATCTTGCAGGTGGATTCTTTACCAACTGAGCTATGAGTAACAGGAGAAATGCTGTCTAAAGATCTGTGGTTGCATGCCAGTGGAGTGCTGACTAGAAAGCTGCTCAGGCCTACTCTTCTTGCCCACTTTATGCAAATCTAGGACTGTTTATGCCATGGGGATCTGTAATTTACCTTGTCATCTCCTACAGTACCAGCTAAGGAACTTCCTCTTACTCCTCCAAACCAATTAGTTTGGTTAAAGTGAACTAACCATCATAAATAAAATGAAGCAAAAATACCTAACCCCAGGTATACATTTAATTACAACCTCAAAGTAGCCCTGTCTTACTTTAGTATTAATTTTTGTATTTCAGAGGAATTCTTCAGTTGGATAAAGTGAATGTTATACCTGTGACAGCTGTCAACTTATATTCAGATGGACCTGAGAAAACAGCAGAAAACCCTGGAGATAAAACATGTGTTTAGAACACCCTCTCAAATCATGGACTCTGAGTTAGCCTAATGGTTCAAATTTGCCACTCAAATATAATTTTCTTTAAGCCATTAAGAATCAGTTTGTACACTAGAGAAATTGCTAAACTCCTAAAGCTGTCTAAAACTTGATCTTTAAAGTGACAGTTAAAGTTCACCTTATTCTATAATAGGGCTGCCTGTTCCGGTGGTGAATTATTAAAGAAAATTTAAATGCAATGGAAGAGAAGACATGTGAAGAAACTGAAACTACCAAAAAGAAAAAAAAAAAGGGCAAGACAAAATGCCACGTGCCAATTCTTATCAAGGTGCCTTTGTTAAGGAAATTATATACATTTAATTACTATAATATATAAGACTTTATGAAAAGCACTTTATGAAATTCTAATTTAAAAGCTCAAGAACTTAACACTTATTTTTTTATTCAGTAAAATGTGCCTTAATATTAAGTATGTGACTCAGTATAAAAATCACTGAAGTGTGTATCATGATTTGATTGTATCCTGTACCAAGACCACTTACCTTGGATGAACCAGGATTTTAAAATAGTGACATGTTCTCACTCTAAAAATAAATCTTTTTTTTTTTTGAAGATAAAAGTATAATGTTTTTGGAATAAAATCTTTGCCCATGTGAGTTACTTATAATAGCTCCTTTCACATAACACTGGCTGAAACCAAGGGTCACATCAGTTAATAAGTCCATCAATGTTGTCTAATTAGAATGTGCCTTTGCTCTCATGGTTCTAAGTATAATCCTGTTTACCCCACAATAATGTTTGGTCTTTTTTTAACCATCACCCATACTGACGTATATTTTACAATATGATCTAGGACATATAATTCTTACCTTTACTCCATGTGATACTTTGTTCTATTAAAATTCTTTAAGTTTTTTAATTGTAACCCATCATTTAAATGGCTTCTTCGGTGGCTCAGTGGTATAGGATCCAACTGCAATGCAGGAGCCACAGGAAACACGGGTTCAATCCCTGAGTTGGGAAGATTCCCTAGAGAAGGTAATGGCAACCCACTCCAGTATTCCTGCTTGGAGAATTCCATGGACAGAGGAGCCTGGCAGGCTACAGTCCATAGGGTTGCAAAGAGTTGGACACGACTGAAGTGATTTAGCAAGCATCATTTAAAATACTTTAGAGGAAAAAAAAAAATACTTTAAGAGGGAAATGACTGGATTTTAAAACCACCTTCAATTTTGACTAAATAGGTACGTGTAGTGGAAGGATGATAGGTAGTAAAGGAGTCATTCATTCTGCGTATTTGTTTTTAATAAGGAATAACAGCCCTGTGTAATGCACTGTGTCCATCTTCTAGACAAATAATAATACAATTTGATCCCAAAGTCACTCAGCAATTAACACTTTTTTTTTTTCACTTTATTTTTTTATGTCCTTCACTAAGTTGCTAGAAATCACGAGTTCTAACTTTAAACAATGACAGGGTCTTATTTCATCCTTTAAGCATAAGCTTGTAGCCTCTTGTGAGAACAATGCAGGAGGCTTTCACTGGAGGGTGCAGGCCCTGCAGTCAGCAGCTCCTAGCCTGCCTTCTCTCCTTGCCTGTGATACTTGAGACCATAGCAAATCATGTGGTCTTCCTGAGGCTCTGTTTTCTATGGTCAGGGTGATACAGTAAGTATTAATTTATAAGGAATTATAAGTAGAAATCTTACCTAAAGGTTTATACCCTTACTTTATTTATTAATTTATATTTGTACTGTTAATTATTTTAATTACACTGTGCATCCATGAGTGATGGGTTAGTGACTCTCATTAGAGAACAGTGAGCAGCCCGAACGTAAAGGCAGCTTCTTGCCTGCAGTGCAGCCTTTTCTATGTGGGCAGAATAAAGTCAGGCAGGCAGGACTGTACAGATGTGTATATATATATTTTTCCTTTTAAACTGCACAGTAAAATGAAGGGGCCTTTAAAGCTCTCAGAACGAGGCGGGAAACCGGCCATAACACCAGGCAGGAAGGAAAGCACAGTGGGTGTGGTTCGGGTGTCACTCAATTGGCTACTTGTGTAAAAACGTTCAGGAATTTTCAGTTACCCTCTGGCACCTACAGAGCTAGGGCCAGGCTTATTCTTCAGAAGCAAGAGCAGCCACAGGCAGTGGAAGAGAAAAGGATACACTCAGAAGTGCACATAAAGACAGTTTTCCAAGCCAAGTAACAGCACTTGTGCTATAACATTTGTCAGTGAAGGAGAAACACAGTAATGCTAAAGTAAAACAAGTTTGCTTGTAACTTGAAAAAAATTGCCTTTATTCAGAATCATACTTTTTTTCACTCTTACCATAACGAAAGTTTAAAAAAATATAGCGCTTGGTGCAATGAAATACTACATTTAATTATTCAAACACTTAATGCAAGGTTGCTCACAGTTTACATGTGAGAATTTAGCATGATCCAAACTCCAATATCCATTTCTCATATCTTTCAATGTCTGCAGCAGACACTGACTTTGAAACCTTTTTTAAAGCCATTTCAAAATCTTCCATAGTTGTAGGCATGTGCATTTCTTCTCTTGAAAGATTTCTGATTTCTTCCGGGGTCAAACCTTCAATACGCCTTCTCATTGCCATCAAGGATGCATCCCTAGGTTTTAAATTAAAAAGACAAAAACCACAAAGTGATGTGCTGGTCAAATAAAAAACTGAACAGAAGGTTTTTTTCATTTCATGTGTTATTCTGCAATTATTTTATTATATATACATAAGTAGTACTGCACAGAATCTAGTATTGAACTACAAGGCCTGTTTTGGAGCTGTTTTGTTAGCAGTTAAATCTGAGCAAAAAGCCCAAGAAGAAGTAGAAGGATATAACATGAGGGCAACTGAATTTTTTTTAAAGTGTACCATAAAATAAAGAATAAGCATCACAGGGACAGGAGAGAACTTGTTAGCTGGAAAATTAAATATTTTCTACTGCATGTGTAAGAAAAGCTGAACAATCAAGTGGTCTCTCCTTTCCCCTCCTCTGTATTAGTGCTATATTTTTTAAGGAGAAACTTAAGATTCAACCACCTCCTTGCTTTCACCCAGTTTGATCCTTACCAGCAGCCACCACATGTGCAAAGCGACAGCTACAAAGCTGCTTCATACACACATTACTGCTAATCCTCACGTCAGCCCTGCATGGAATGCTTACTTTGGAGGTGAGTAAACCAGTGCAGTCAAGAACCTTCCTAATAAATGTCCAAACTAATACCAAGATTAGGACAAAACCTACTTCAATCACGTTTTGAAGCAGAGACCATCTTTTCTTGTTACTGATAATTCCTATCACATTTATGACACTTCACTGAAAATGAGACTGTATTTCCTTCTGATGTGCCAAATCAGTCTACGTCAGGTTACGTCCCCTATGGAACCATACGCTGAATGAATGCGCCGACATTACTTTTTCTAACCCAGGCACTTGGCAGCAGTCACCGTGCAGACGACTCCGCTCAGTCTTGCCTTGCTGGGCTTCCTCTGCCACCAGGTCTGACACACCCAAAATAGCTGAGATTATCAAATTTGGTAAGTCAAAACTGAAGACAGAAACAAATGGAACAGACAAATCCACTGCTTTCAAAAGAAATGACTGAACAGAAGCAGGCAAGTTTTAATAAGGTAAGTGACGCCAATAAGCACCGTACATTCCACAAGCTCTTCCTTCTTATTTTACTTCTTTTAGCTGTTTAACTTTGTAAGATGAAAAGAGTGTGGATCAAATTTAAATGACTGTGCTGCCCTTTTCACATCAAAGAAAGGAGAACTACTGACAGGAGGGCTGAAGGCCATTCCTGCCTCTCCCATCTGCCTGTCTGGGGAAGAAGAATAATTTACATGGTGGTGAAGGAAGAAGCTAAGTGGGGTGACAGTGAAATCTAAAGTAAAAAAGCAAACTGGTCCAAGGTGTCCCGTGGGCTGTTAAAATACAGTGTAATCAGAGTGACTTTGTTGTTGTTCAAATGATTTTAATTACTGTAATGCACACTTTTTAAAGTATGCATTTAGTATTGAAAACCTAAAACTTTTTTTTTCTAATCCAAGATAATTACTGGTTTTCTATTTTATATCAGTTGTTTTAACACTACCTTCTTGAACGTGTAGCTTTTAAATGAACCACAGTCTTCAATGACATACAAGACAGCCACATGACTTTACTAGCACTAGCTAACACTAGCTTAATGCCAAAATTTGTGTCTCTGACTAGGTTATATTATGTGGGTCTTTATTCTTCATCTATCTTCATTTAGCATAAAACCTTCATAACAGAAGTTTACACTGACAAAATTCTATGCTTCCTAAAAACAAAACCAGAACCAGAAACAAAAACCTATACTTCCAAAATAATTCATACCTGCACACGTTGGTAATGTCCGCACCTGAATAACCCTCCATGTTTTCTGCTATACTTGCAAGGTCAACATCGTCAGCCAATTCCAGCTCACGGAGACTTATTCGTAATAGCTCCTCCCTGCCTTTTGCTATTAGGAGAAATAAAATATAAATGAATATATATAAATATAAATATAACATATAAAAAATAAACATATAAATATAAACAAATATAAACAAATATAAACATATATATAAATACCAACATATAAACAATGTTTTATTTTTCTCCAGTCTACTTTAAGAAGTTGTTTTTCAATTCTTAGAGCTCATTTGCTTAAAAAATTTAAGAGTTATTCCTCATTGAATTTTTATTTTTAAATTTTAATTTTTAATTGAAAAATAATTTTTTAATTGAAATTTTTTTAGTTTTTATGTTTTTAATTGAACTGGTTTGTCTTTTTTTTTCCCATTTATTTTTATTAGTTGGAGGCTAATTACAATACTGTAGTGGTTTTTGCCATACACTGACATGAATCAGCCATGGATTTACATGTGTTCCCCATCCTGATCCCCCCTCCTGCCTCCCTCTCCATCCCATCCCTCTGGGTCTCTGGTTTGTCTTTTAAAGTAAAGTTAATTAATACCAAACTTCAAAATTTAGCAAAACTACTTAAGAGTTAACATGAGGGACTTTACTGATGGTCCAGTGGCTAAGACTCCGGCTCCCAATTCAAGCAGCCTGGGTTCAATCCCCGGTCAGGAAACTAGATCCCACATGACTACAACCAACAGTTCATGTGCTGCAACTAAGACCTGGTTCATCCAAATAAATAAATTAATTAAAATATATTTAAAAAAAAATTTAACATGAGCTTCCTGATTCAAATGAAGATACCTGATGGTAATGGAATATAGATTCTTTTCTCAAGACGTCGTCTTAAAGCCTCATCAATATCCCAGGGAAAATTAGTAGCTGCCAGAACCATAACCATTTTGGAAGGGTCATCATTTTCAGAAGCACCTCCAACACCTTGAGGAAGGGTAAGAACATAGTGAAAAAAAAAGAAAAGCAAAGCTCAGATACTTAAAGATCCTCAAATATTTAGCACAACATTAAAAGCAATGTAATCATCAAGCCTCCTTAAGACTTACAAAGCAAACTGGTACATGTGTGAGTTTGCAGCTCAAGAAAAATGAGTTTTTGTAGCATGCAGAAAATATGACTCAAAAACAGATTTAATAAAAAGACTAGTTCAGCAAAACTATGTAACAATTTTAAAAATTCTTCAAAACCATACATATCCCCCTCTAAGGCCAACTGATCTGCATTTGTTTCAGTTTCCTGGCTAAGAACGAGATCAGCGTGTATGAGAAAAGGTGTCCAGTGAAGGGGCAGCCATTGCTTCCGGTATGTCAGCACTGTCAGCAGCCCCGTTTACTGCTGTGGATCTCCAGGACCTACTCGCCAGCCCTGGCCGCCGGAGCTGGGCTGAGCACTGAGTGGAGCTTAGCTCCCGCTTAGACACACGCGTACCGTCCATCTGAACCAGCAGCTCGGCCTTCACCCTTCTGCTTGCCTCGTGCTCTTCAGAAGTCCCTCTGCGGCTGCAGATGGAGTCTATCTCATCAATAAATATAGTAGCTGGAGAGTAAAATCGAGCCTGCAGGAAGAAACCAGGCAACACCAGGTTTTTAACTCCATTTAAAAGTAATCTACAGTTAAGCAATTAGAAAAGAGTGGAGCAGCCTGCCCACACTGCGCATCTCTCCCTCTTGTCCTGAGGACAGAATTGGAAGAGCTAAAATACAGCTTCTAATACAGACTTATTGTATACTTAAATATTATATGGCAATTTCTATATTATTCAATACTCTAATGGGCTATACATAAGTCATAGAAATACAGGAATCCTGTACATTACAATGGTATGGATAACAATAATGGGAAGACATTTATAGATTCTGATAAGCGTTCTAAAGTTTCAGAAAAAATTTTGTTAAAGAGAACCATTACCTTTTATATTAATAATATCACATAGATTTTTATAAATATTTTAAAGTATATTTAAATTTTAATATTTCACTTATATGTAAATGTATTTTAATGTAAATATATACAATATATATAATGTATAAATGTATTTAAATTTATATTTTATACATATAAATTCTCTTTAAGGAATTCTAATTAAATTGCCATTTTTCATTTGACTAATACAAGTATAGCTGACCCCTGAATAATTCGGGTATGAACTGCATGGGTCTACTTACATGTAGGTATTTTTCAGTAATAAATACTATACTACTACCTAAGTTGGTTGAATCTGAGGGTATAGAGGAATTATGGATACAGAGGGCTAACTATAAGTTACATGCAGATTAATCTTCACATTGTTCAAGGGTCAATTAGAAGAGTCAATTAAAATGGCTTTTTAAAGATAAAATTCATACAACAAAAAATTCACCATTTAAACCATTTTAAAGTATACAATTCAGCATTCAGCATATTAATACTATTATGCAACCATCATCACTGTCAATTCCAGAACATTTCAGTGCCTCGCCCCACCCATTAACCCACACTTCTCTTCCCCCAGCCCCTGGTGATCACTGATCTATTTTCTGTCCCTAAGCATCTGCCTGTTCTGAACATTTCAAATTAATGGCATCATACAATACATGGCCTTTGTGTCTGCTTCCTTCCACTCAGCATGTTTTCAATGTCTATCTGTATTATAGCATGTATAGTACTTCATTCTCTTTTATGGCTGAATAATATCCCCCAAGTTTATTTTTGTACCTCAAATGCATTTCTTCTTCCTCAAATCAAAGGACAGGGAAGATTGATCCACCGGTCAAGTATTAACCTAATAAACAGCTGTGTAAGACTCAGTAGTATCACCCTTTTCTTAAGGAGACAGAAGCAGCATTTTATTTTATCTATTTATTTTTGTGGTTTTTTTGTTTTTAGTATACTTTATTTTTTTATTGGAGTATAGTTGATAAGAACCATTTTATTACAGTAATTAATATTTACTGTTAATCAATTTTTAAATGAAATATCCAAACTTACAGAATCACCACACAAGAAAGCTTGAAACTAAATGATGGCAAAGATTTCTCAAAACAGAGCTTAAGTGAACAAACAGCATTTTAAAGGTTCTGCTAAAAATAGAAGTCCACAATGGCAAATGAACACAACAGACTTCAACATGCAATTGTACTAGGTCCACCAATTCTTCTGACCATGAGGTTACAATCCATTCCCCTCTAAAACGCGATTAACTGTGCAGAAAGACTGTGCCTCCAAAGTACAGATTTACTTTTAGTCTGTTCACTTGGAAAAACCTAATATTAAATCTCACTTTCTTTTCTAGTTAAAAACTTGAATTCTAAGTCATCTATTCCCCCCAAAAGGATAATGCCATTTTTAATTAAGGTATCCTTTTACTTGGATTTTAGGCACTATGTACAAACATTTTTCTGCTTTCTTTTCAAGAAACAGAGGGGGAAAATAAACTGGATGGAGGGAAAGAAAGAAAAAAGCAAACATGCAAGAAAATTTGTAATTGAAATTCTAGCTAGCAACCATCAGAACCAATGACAAAAATCAACTTTCAAGCAAAAACTACTAGATTTGAGTTTCCCCCCATACTACGGGTACATAGAAAGGTCTAAATTAAAGCAGAGGCTATGTGGCACATTTAAAATTTGGTTTGGATGACCTGGGAAAGTATCATAGATGTGGAAGAGGACACCAAGTGTTTCTGTCTGCACAGCACCCCTTCTTCTGATAAGAGAAGCTCTCCTTTTCATTTGTACATAAATTATCTTTCTCATTCTTACTCCACTACTTCAAATGAGGCCAACCTCTGCTGGAGTCCCAAGAGAGTCCAGGCACAAGCGTGTGACTCAAGTAAGGCCAAACATTAATCTCTGGAGTTTTGCTGGAACAACTGAGAAATGAGGACTAATTCTTAGGGATTACCATAAGGACAACAAAAATAAGATTTAAACTTCTAACAGCTATCTTAGTCACCATATGGATCTGCCAACGTCAAAGTCAACCCAGACGTAAAAAGAGCCAAATGTTTAGACAGAAACAATTCCCAAGGACATCTGAATTGCTGGATCCTGCTAGACCTAAAAATATAAAATGTAACCTGATAATTCTGTTATGTCACCCAACATATTATTCTTTTTGTTTAAACTGATTTGATTAGACTTTTGTTTTCCTTTATTGGCTGCGCCTGTGGCATGTGGGCTGATAGTCCCAGACCAGGGATGGAACCCATGACCCCTGCATTAGAAGTGTAGAGTCTTAACCACTGGATCACCAGAGAAGTCCCATGATTAGATTTCTGACACCTGAAAATGAAAGTTCTTGACAACATAACAAAAAAAATACAATTAAATTTTTAAATGTCTGTACCAAGTCATGTGAAAACCCCTGGACAGATCTTAATATTTAAGTGGGACTACCCTGGTGCTACAGTGGATAAGAATCTGCCTGCCAATGTAGGGGACACTGGTTCGATCCCTGGTCTGATTTCACATGCTCATGGAGCAACTGAGCCTCAGAGCCAGTGCTCCACAGCAAGAGAAGCCAGTGAAACCAGAAGCCTGCGCAATGTAACTAGAGAGTAGCCCCCTCACAGCACCCAGAGAAAGCCCGGAACAGCAATAAGGACCCAGTGCAGCTGAAAATAAATAATTTAAAAAACAATATTTGTCGATGTATGGCAGAAATCAACATAATACTGTAACGCAATCATCTTTCAATTAAAAATAAATTAATTTAAAATAGTAACGGTAATATTTAAGTGGCCTTATTCATAATATAGGCCTTAAGCCATGCTCACTTTGAAAGATTCTGGTGGGGCCAGGCGCATGAGAGGCAGTCATCTGCAGAGCAGTCAAAACATGACATAAGAGGCAGTAGCACAATTTTACTCCTTGAGAGAGGCCACATGATGAAAAGGAGGAAATCAAGCTGGTTTCAAAGGAGCCATAAACAAACAAAGGAGCCTTCAAAACTACAGGCACTGGTTTGTGATTGAGCCTGTGCTCAAGTAAGCAGCTCAAGGTAGCACCCTCTGGATAAGATTTAAAGATGGTTAAGATTTTCCTAGGCAACACCAGGGAAGCCAGTAAAAAATAAGTTGTTTGATATGTCTTTATAAACTGCACTATAAAAAAAAACTACATATTAGCACTTTGTAAGAGGCTTTCCCTCATAGAAGAAAACAGTCCTTTTTCCTCAATACAAAACCCTATCTTATATACCTATGGCTGATTCGTGCTGATGTATGGCAGAAGTCAACACAGTATTATAATTATCCTCCAATTAAAAAAAATAAGTTAAAAAAACTCCCTATATTAAAAAATAATCAAATAATTCTTAAAAAGTAATAGTAAATATTTATGAGTCAGGCTCTATATTAAGCAGCTGAAGTGTACTGGCTGATTTCACCCTCCAAACATTAGGTCAGTTCAGTCGCTCAGTCGTGTCTGACTCTGTGACTCCATGGATTGCAGCACGCCAGGCTTCCCTGTCCATCTCGAACTCCCAGAGCATGCGCAAACTCATGTCAGTTGAGTCAGTGATGCCATCCAACCATCTCATCTGCTGTCCCCTTCTCTTCCTGCCTTCAATCTTTCCCAGCATCAGGGTCTTTTCCAGTGAGTCAGTTCTTCACATCAGGTGGCCAAAGTACTGGAGCTTCAGCTTCAGCATCAGTCCTTCCAATGAATATTCAGGGTTGATTTCCTTTAGGACTGACTGGTTTGATCTCCTTGCTGTCCAAGGGACTCTCAAGAGTCTTCTCCAACACCACAGTTCAAAAGCATCAATGCTTCAGCACTCAGCTTTGTTTATGGTCCTACTCTCACATCCATACATGACCACTGGAAAAACCATAGCTTTGACTAGATGGACCTTTGTAAGCAAAGTCATGTCTCTGCTTTTTAATATGCTGTCTCAGTTGGTCATAGCTTTTCTTACAAGGAGCAAGTGTCTTTTAATTTCATGGCTGCAGTCACCACATGCTGTGAGTTTGCAGCCCAAGAAAATAAAGTCTGTCACTGTTTTCGTTGTTTCCCATCTATTTTGACATTAAGTGATGGGACCAGATGCCATGATCTTAGTTTTTTTAACGTTGAGTTTTAAGCCAGCTTTTTCACTCTCTTCTTTCAATTTCATCAAGAGGCTCTTTAGTTCCTCTTCACTTTCTGCCATAAGGGTGGTGTCATGTGCATGTCTGAGGTTATTGGTATTTCTCCTGCAATCTTGATTCCAGCTTGTGCTTAAACATTAGAGGTAGGTCCTAAATTATAGTCCTCCTCTTATAGATAAAGCAACTGAGCAACAGGAGAGGAATTCTCCCATAGGGAGCTAGCTGGGAAAGTGACAGAAGTGGGATCTAAGTCAGGCCATCTGACTCTAATGACACCATACTTAGCCATTCATTCTACTAAGCTTACATTTTTAAAACACCAAGTTATTCTGGAATACTGATAATTTTAACCCCTGAAGCAAATGGCAAAAAATTTTTTCAAGATGATCTAAGAGGTTCTCCATTAGACACCTACTGTGGAAAGGACTATTAATAGTCCATAAGAACCTGTCAGAATTTACATTCTGCCTTATGAATTATCGCAGTTGAAGGGAAAAAAAATGGGAATGAAACAGGAAGAAGCCTTTGCAGAAATGGATAACATGAAATTATGAGGGTTTTTGTTTTGTCTTATCCTGAGCCTAGGAAGAAAGATGTGGTATAATGTTAGCATGATCATCTAAGATTTTGGCCACCATGACTAAGGATGTAAATCTTTGTTATTACTTATCTAATAAACCCAACTCTGTCTTCATGCATATAACTACACAATTTCTTAAATGAGTTAAGATGGAAACAGTTAAGTGAAACTTAAAAGTCTAAAAGCTATTGAATTCAACCCACTCAATCAGAACTTGTTGAATTATATTTCTTCTACTGATACTCAGAATTGTGACAGTGGATGAAGGAAAAAGAAACTCAAAGGAAGAAGCAAAGAACTGAGTTCAAAGATTATGATTATGATTAAACTCCAGGTATTTGATACAGTGAATAGATCAGAGGTAATCTCAGTTCCATATTTACTTGTGATTTTCACCTTTCCCTATTATTTACCAATACTGAATTTACTATAACAAAGCCTGGCTTAAAAAACATAATAATTTCACATTCCTATAGCAGCAGATCAGTAACATGGATCCCATAGCATGAGCATGTCCATAAGCTAACAGTCAGTCCTCCAGAGGAAAGGAGTTAAAGAGAAACACAAGTAATTCATGTTAGTAAAAAGTTTCTATGGATGAAGGAGCCTGGTAGGCTACAGTCCATGGGGTTGCAAAGAGTCGAACACGACTGAACGACTTCACTTTTTCTTTTTCACTTTCTTTCAAGGGCACAGGAACCATACCCTGGGCACAAGTGCATCCTGCCTGGCGATTCTACACCATGGAGTTAGTTACAACTCATTTTCTTCCCTTCTAGAAGTAAAGAATCATTAGAGTTGTCTCAAACATTCACCATTTCAAACAGAAGACGAACAAGCTTCTCAGACTCTCCTCTGTATTTGGAAGTCAGAGTTGATGAAGAGACATTGAAGAATGTTGTCTTACATTCCGTTGCTACTGCTTTAGCAAGGAGGGTCTTTCCTGTGCCAGGTGGGCCCACCATTAACACTCCCTGTTGGGAATATAACAGTGTCAGTAAAGGGTTTATCTGCCGTTGTTCTAATTCACAAGAATTCCATTACTAAGAATCAATCTTCAACAAACTTATACATAATATTGAGATATGTAAAAGACAAACAGAAGGATATTTTATCACAAATTTACTTTTTGCATTACAAAAGTAAGGTAATTACACACTATTAAAAATTTGGAACTAAGAGATGAGAAAAAATATAATCAATATTATAGTACTGATATCATATCCTAACACAGGTACCGTTAGGATCTAGATATATTTCCTGCTAATCCTTTTGCTCAAACAAATTAGTTGTTTTTTTTTTTAACATGGTTGTACTCAAGGTATGTCTAGAAGTTTTTATCTTGCTTATCACTTAACATTTCAAGAATTTAAAGAAACAAGTACAGAGTGAGCCATTAGCACATTTCCCAAATCCAAGAGTTCTTTGGACACTTTTCAGATCAGCACGTGACTTTTACGAAGTACTCATTAGGGCTTCCCTGGTGGTTCAGTTGTAAAGAATCTGCCTCCCAATGCAGGGGACACGGGATTGAAATTGAAATTCCTCCTCTGGAAAGATCCCACAGGCTGCAGGGCAGCTAAGCCCACGTACCACAGCTACCAAGCCTGTGCTCCAGAGCCCGGGACTCGCAACAACTGAGCCTGAGGGCTGCAACGACTGAAGCCTCAGCACCTACCTAGAGCCCGTGCTCCGCAACAAGGGAAACCACTGCAACGAGAAGCCCGCAACTCGAGAGCAGCCCCCCGCCTGCCTCATCTAGGGAACGCCCACGTGCAGAAATGAAGACCCAGTGAAGCCACATATAAACACATTTTTAAAAAAAGGAGTACTCATTAGATGCAGATATGCCTTGTTAATTTCTTAAGAACAATTCCAAGAAATACACAAGTTTTGCAACACAAAATGTAAAATGGAGTATTTTAGTATTTAGGCAACTTGTTCATATTTGCAAATCTAAGTTCACTATAAATCTACTATGGGTATACCTTTTCAAAGATCACACTTCATCTGTTTCCTATTCTGGAAACCTTGCAGTAGGTTTTGGTCTGAATAACACAACATATTTAAATTTTTCTGTACCTGCTCTACGTTCTATTTCCCCTTCCCTCAACACAGGTAAATACTGGCTGTCTACACAATACATTTGCCCTTTGCTTTGACAACACTGTTACAGTAAGAAACTTACTTTCCATGGTCTCCTAATGCCTTTAAAGAATTCTGGCATCCACATTGGTAACACCACAGCTTCCTTAAGCAACTTTTTAGCTTCTACTAAATCAGCAATATCATCCCTGAAAGAGAAGATATTTGATTAAAACCTTAGATCACATATTTAATTCAGTGTAGTCATTCTTGAGAGTCACTGAAAGCACATGATTTTATGTTGCTGACAGAATGTGAAGTTTCTCCCTAGGCACTAGTGAACTAACACATTGTGACAAGGTTTCTGCCACACCAGCCAGTATATAGAAAGGGCACAATCTGAATCTTCAAGTCTTGGCAGCAATGATTTTCAGCTTGGTGGATGAGAACACAGGTCTATAGGCCTACTCTTTAAGTATTATTATGCCATCTTATTTTAAATTTCTGTTCTTAAAATGCTCATTCCATAAATTCCATGGTTTAGAAATAATGAGCCCACTAAAACAAACAAACAAACAGAATAAACATAGCATAAAGCAGACACAGGTTGTAATTCAGCTGCTTTGCCCCCTACTCTACCAAGAGGTGGACAGCAGGGTTAAAAAGTATCATAGAGATTGCCACGAAATCATCATCAACCACGAGACCACCACCACTTCTACAACTACTAGTACACATGGCACAATAATATATTATGATATATAACATGATAATATATTTTAAAATATCCCCAAAACTATACCTAAAAATAAAGTTTTAACAAAAAATATATAACTGAATGTGCCTAACTTTGTGGGAAATGGAGCTTTAGAACTTGTGATAAATTATAGTTCTTTGATTAGATATAATGTTTATTTTTTAATAATTTATTGAAGTATAGTTGATTTACAATGTTATGTTAGTTTCATGTGTACAGCAGGGTGATCCAGTTAAACATACATAGAGTATCCTTTTTTTTTTAGATTCTTTCCCCTTATAGATTAGTACAAAATATTAAGTATGGTTCCCTGTGCTATATAGTAGGTCCTTGTTGGTTATGTATTTTATATATATCAGTGTGTAATAAGTTAATCCCAAACTTCTAATTTCATAATATTAATAAAGTTGAGAACCACTGCTTTAAGTACTAGGATATAGGAGCAATACGTATTGTATAAACCTAACCAGCAATACATATGCATGAGAATGACTGCTATTTCACCTTTAAAGAATGTCCCAAAAAGAAGATGAAATTTTTGTGATCTTGTTCACATTCTGTACATAGGATTTTTTTATTTAACAAAATTTTATTATTATTTATTTCATTAAATTTAAAAATTTTAAACAAAAACTGGTACAGCCTGAATCAAAGTGAAGTTTTTCATTATGTGTCTTGCTCAGATTTTATGTCTTCCAGTCCTGTCCTCAAAGACTGATTGTCAGCACATGCCCATTTCTGTTCCAAAAACCAACATCCAATTGTTTTGTTGTGCTATAACTTACCATCGAACATTGGGATTCTGAGAAATTATATCCCTTTCCAAAGCTTCTACTAGGTCCTTATCATACCCGGTACTATCAAATTTATTTGTCTCTGGTTCTGCAGCAGCAGCAGGTGATTTGTTCTACACAAATAGAGGGAAAAAAAACATGAGCTTATGATTAACTCAGACACTATATTTCATTTCTATGAGTCAGAAACAAAGACTGGACTCGTGACATTTTTATAAAAGCTAACATAATAGTACAAGTAATACAGACAGAATCAAAGACTGTAAGTCATCGTTCTACATCAACAGCAGAGTTTCATACTGAATTTTTATTTTTACGTAAAAAGTATGACAATGGTGTTAAACAAAAATATTATGCATATGAACTGACAATAGAAAAATTAATATTGAGATAAATTGTGGTCACTAGTGAATATTAGATATGTATATTTATCTCAAAGCTTTAGAAGAGATAAGGTTAAAGACAGATGGTTTCCTTAGGTAAGATAATAGGTCAATCCTTAACACCTACTCAGTTCCTACTGATGCTCCAAAAACACCTTTTGATTATTCCCCTATTCCCCCAAGAGACACCTCAGCCCTTAGAAGAGATTTCCTCCCATCCTCTGTGATGTTAGTCATTAGGGCCACAAAGCTGCATGCTAAAGCACTCCAAGGCACAATGACAAACTCACAGCACACTGCAGGATATTTCAAACTTCTGAGAGAAACACAAAAACATCTATGTGAACATTGGGTGAACTGCCAACTCAATGAAACCTAACAGAGAGCCCATAAACAGACCCACACGGATATTCCCCCCAAATTTTTGAGAATGGTATAAAAATTTTATTGACATATATTATTTATAATGTGTTAATTTCTGCTGCACATCCTAGTGACTCAGTTATACATATATATATAATTTTTCATTTTCTTTTCCATTATAGTTTATCACAGGATACTGAATATAGTTCCCTGAGCTATAATAAATCCTTTTCAACAAATGGTGTTGGAACAACTGAATATGTATGGGCAAAAACTGAACCTTGAACTAAGCCTCACACTTTACATAAAAATCAACTCAAAGCACATCATGGACTTACATATAAAACATAAAATTATAAAACTTTTAAGAAAAAAATGTTTAAAAATTGGGATCTAGGGGTAGGCAAAGAGTTAAGGACTTGACAACAAGAATATACAAGGAAATACTGGACTTTACCAAAACTAAAATCGTTTGCCTTGTGAAAGATCCTGCTAAAACAATGACAAGACAAACTACATACTTAAAAAAAAAATTTGCAGAACACATATCTGACAAAGAACTAATCTCTAGAATATATAAAGAACTCTTAAAACTTAACAGTAACAAAAAAACGTCATTTGTATAATGGGCAACAGACCTGCCCATTATAGGAGAGATGTTTCTCTGAAGAGACTTGGTTCTGTGCTGTTATTTCCTTTTAAGTTAGCTTGTACAGCCACTATTTAGAAGAATAGACTAAGTCAGCATAGATTGTTAGACTGTTGAGAAGAACAGCACTGGGGACTTTACATTTGCTATAACCCAGTTTTTACTTTGCCCAGGTGGTGTGGAGAGGCCTTTTGGTACAATGAGCCAAATGATCCAGTGCTTTACCATTTCATAGACTATTTATGTTTCTTAGACTAATAATGTTCATGTGCCTCAGTCAAGGCAGTGGGGAGGTGGAACAAAAAAGACTGAAACTAAACTCCTAGAGTCCTATATGCTCCTGCAAGGGAGCATAAGCACTCAAATAATAACTAGCACTGAAATCTCGGTTTATAAAGCTCATTCCTCACTAACAGGAAACCAGGGTTTCCTGGAGAAACAAGAGTAAATACAGGAGGAGCCTAGGACACTATTTTGTCAGAGGTTGGTGAGTACATGTTAAAAAGACTTAAGATCCTGCTTCAAGGGTCTCCCTCTCCTCAAATCCTGGACAATTTAAGCATCAGAAAGATAGTAACACATTTTAATTCATTGAATAAAATAATCCATGAGTCCATACAGATAAAATTAAATAAAGGGGAAGAGATAGAGCTTTTTCTTACAATTCAAAGTCAATTTATTAAAGAAGAGATAATAGCATTAGAAAATGATTTTTCAATTGTCAGAGGAGTAACTGATTCAGGCAAGAACTCCTGGAGGCTGAAACAAATAAAATTTTGATGAGAAACAGGATATTTATGTAATCTCAAAAGTATCTCCCCACAAATGACTATAAAGGGAAAAAGAGTAACTTTAGAGTGGAGAGACTTGGCAGACGCCACCCTAACCAAGTGATCCAATGTATCACAAGTAACAGAGCCATAAACATCCTGTGTGCCTCATATGATACGCTGAGCAGAACAAAACTTCACTTCAGTGGCACTCCTGCCAAGAATGCACAACCTTAATCTAATCGCAAGGAAACATGAGGTGAATCCAAACTGAGGAATATTCTACAAAGTAACTCTTTAAAAAGGCCAAAAAAGGTAAAGGCTGAGGAAATGTTCACATTAAAAGAGACTAAAGAAACGGGACAACCAAATGCAACAAATGCTTCTATACTGGGTCCTGGCATGGAGCGGGCGGGGGGAAAAGCTATAACTGACATTATTAGTGAGACTGGCAAAATTTCATAAAAGTCTGTGCATTAGATAACAGTACTGTATCAATGCAAAATTAATGATTTTTGATCACTGCTTTGTGTTTATATGAAAGAACATCCCAGTATTTAGGAAACTGACACTAAAATATTTAAGGGTAAAAGGGCATGATTTCTACAACTTACCCTCAACACTTCAGGAAAAATCAAGTATACACAGAGAGTAAATGATAAAGCAAAAAGGGTAAAATATTAATAACTGGTAAAAACAGGTAAAGAATATATGTAAGTTCTTTATTACCAAGATAGAAAGTTACAAAAAGCAACCAAAAATATTTGTTGAATACTGAGTGGGAAAAATCCTAGCCTAGGTGCAGTATGACTATGGTTTTATTATAGTAGCAGATTTAATTCCTAAAAATTATTAAAATTTGTACAGTCTTCACTTTTAGGGTTAATAAATAACTTTTAATTTATAAAAATCAGTAACATTTACCTTTTCCTCTCTTCCTTTATTCTGTTCTTTCTTTTCCCGACTACGAACAGCTTTCCCTCTGTCATTGTGAAGACTGTGTGTGGATGGACGGTGAACTCTGACAGCTGTACTTGGACGGTTACCCTGTGGTTTAGGGTCGCTGTACTGAGAAGACTGGCGTTTTCTAGGTCCTGGTGATGGTCTAATCAAAGACAAGATCAAGAAAATCATAATCAACTCTTGGAGTTGGTACAAACACAGATGAACACACACTGTGTAAGTCAATCTATGACTTGAAGCGATGGCAATGACTGAACACAAGATAGAACTGCAGGTCACTGAAATCTAAGACCTAGCATTGAAACTGGACATAACTGTCTGCAGTGCAGTACGGTTATATGGCAGAAACACAGAGGGCAAGTGATCATCACCTCTCTTTTGAAATGAAATACCTGCTGTATATCAAGGATAAATGAAAAAGTAGGCTGATTCTTGAAAACTGAAAAGAGAACAAAATAATCAGAGAAGGGAGTTTTATCAAAAGATAAAGAACAAAGAACGCAGGTGTGAATCACATTTATGTACAAACATACACACAGTTTGGTACCATTTCATTTAGAATGTATCATAGTTCTCACATTTTAATTAATAAAATTTAATCATTTTTCCATTAAATAAAAAACTGATACAGCACTGGCTACGGATAGTTACAAGAAGTCATGTATAGTGTTTTGCCTTTATGTAGATCACTTCATCTTCATTTCTGTGGCAGAATTTAGAGCTCTCAAATATTTATTAGGATCCTACTGTTATGCTTCTAGACTTGGTTGGGGTAAGATGAGCAATAAAAATGGTACTAGAGTCCTGTACTCAAATACCTCAGATAGAGTTAAGAAAGAGATACACAAGATTAGGCAAACATACTATAAAGTATGAAAGAGACCTAGTGCTGTGGCAATAGGAATGGCCTCTTGAAGACAGAAAGCAAACTGGATCTGGAAACATCCTCCTAATTTAGGAGTTGACCTAAGTAAGATGGTACAACTGCAGATAAGAAAATGAGTGGGTAAAAGCAAAGAAAGCAAGATGAGCTTAATCTACATAAAGGTCATAAAGACACAAATTGTAAAGATACAATGATAAACACTAAAGAATGATACTGGAGCTTCCCTGGTGGTCCAGTGGTTAAGAATCTGCCTGCCAATGCAGGGACACAGGCTCAATTCCTGGTCCAGGAAGATTCCACATGACACGGGGCAACTAAGCCCATGCTCGGCAACAAGAGAAGCCACTGCGAAGAGAAGCCCGAGCTCCACAGTGAAGAGCAGCCCCCACCGCCACAGCCAGAGAAAGCCCTCGCGCGGCAACGAAGACTCAGCACGGCCCCAAAATAAATCTTTTCTGAAAAGTGAAAAGTGAACTAAAAACAACAACAAAAAAAGAGGATACTGAACAGATAAGCTGGTTCAGTAAGTAGATCTAAATATCACCAGTTCAAGAGGCTTGGTTGTTAGCTGACTGTCACTGAAAAGGTTTTACAAAGACCAGTCTCACAATGAATAAGATATACTGATGAAAGAATGCAGGGAGGCACTATCAAGGCATAAGATGAGAGCCTAGCTTACGGAGTGATGATAAAAGTCTAAAAGACACACTGTGAAAAAACACACCCCTAGATATCTTTCATATTGAGAAATGAGAATTTGGGAGGATGATAAAGCCAAACCAAGGTACTGATTTTTGTGAAAGGAATGATGGGGGTTCAACTTTGAATTTAGAAACTTGGGTAGCCAAGTAGGGATACTGTTTTAAAATATATATTTTTCCCCTTAAAAAAAAAAAAAACACTGAAATATATTTCAGTAATAAAGAATTCGAAAACGTCACCTGTGTGTATGTGTGTGTGTTAGTCGCTTAGTCGTGTCCAACTCTGCAATCCCATGGACTAGAGACTGCCAGGATCCTCTGTCCATGGGGATTCTCCAGGCAAGAATACTGGAGTGGATTGTCATTCCCTTCTCCAGAGGAACTTCCCAATCTAGAGTTAGAACCCTGGTCTCCTGCCTCACAAGAAGATTCTCTACTGTTTGAGTAGCTCAAACGGTAAAAGTCACCTGTATCCCCACTATCCAGAGTTAACCACTTAACATGCTATTTTCTTATGGTTGCCTTTCATTTAAACAAAACTGGAACCTTTATACATACATATTCCCTGGAGGAGGAAAAGGGAACCCACTCCAGTATTCTTGCCTGAGAATCCCATGGACAGAGGAGCCTGCCGGGCCATAACCCATGGGGTCACAAAGAGTCGGACACAACTAAGCGACTGATAGACACATACATACATACACTCATATTTTTCTCTCCTCATTATATCATGAAGCATTTTCAGTATCCTTTCCTCTATCATTACCTCATACATGACTTTTAATGGCTAGATGGCAGTCAGTCACATAAAATGTGCCACACTTAATCTACTTTTTTGGGGGGGCCAAACCACGTGGCTTGCAGAAAGTTAATTTCCTGACCAGGGATGGAACCTGTGCCACCTACAGTGGAAGCAGAGTCCAAATCACTGGACCACCAGGAAAGTCCCTTTATCCACTTCTTACTGCTGTTCATTCATCCGAGAAACTACTGACAGGCACTACTCTGAATTCAAGATAAAAATTAAAAAAAAAACAACAACTAATAAAAGCCTTTACTCTCACAAGTTTACACATCAGTGTGTATGGGGGGCAGACGGGGTTTCAATGAAGAAATAAACAGTACATCAGACGATGCTAAGTGCCATCTAAGAAAATATAATAAAGAAGGGTAGGGGTTATGGAATAATACAGGTAGGCTGATCAGAGATGGTCTTTCTGAGGCAACATTTGAGACTTAAAAGAAATGAGAACAAGCCATCACACATGTGAGCTGAAGGAAAGGTGAGTGCAGAGAACTGAAACATTTGCATCCGACTTGTGCAAGAAGGCTGAGGGGTAGAACCGTGAGCACTGAGGTCACGGAGGTAGCGGGGGACCGGATCTCACTGGGTGGCACCGAGGGGCATGCTGAAAGCGTTGGGTTTTATTCAGCGAGATGAGATGTTTGAGGGACTCCAGCTGACTTTTAAAAGACATTTTAAAAGAATTATACCTAATGGCTTTATGCTATTTTTAATCGCTCCTCTGAAAGCCTTCAATGAACCTCCTTGTACAAACATGTTTGTGTACAGCACTAGAAGAGAATGAAGGATCGACTGACTCAGTTCTCTAAATGGGATTAAAATTTAGGCGATGTCACGGTTACAATCCCCAACAGAGGTGAAAGAATAAGCTTTCTTAAGTATGAGTACAGATTAAGACTAACAGAAAAATAAAGAGTTTTGAGGGATATTCAGCTGAGGAAGTTAAGTTAAATAAATTACAGAAAGAAATAGAAAGATGTAGCAAATAAAGTCAAAGCGGAGGACTTCGTAGCTAACAGCTGTCCAGGGCATTTAAAATCAGAGACAGAACAAAATATGGAAGAAAGCCAGAAGCAATAAGGAGGGACCCTACAGCTCATCATTACAGACTTTTCAAGATGAAAAGCTCATTTAACAACTTTCTATTACCCCAAAGAGAGAAACCTCCTCTCTCCCCTTGTTAAGATTATGTCAACCAAACAGTTCATTAAATCTGAAATCACCTGAATAATCACTGGGCACATCTATTCACTGGAAAGTTCTTATCAGAAACTGAGAAAGGAGTTATGGTGCTGTTACAGACAATTTTTGTATTCCTCCAAAACTCATTATGCTGAATTCCTAAACCCCAGTGTGATCATTTGGAGTAAGGAAGTAATTCAAGTTAAATAAGGTCCTAAGGGTGGGGTCCTGATCTAAGAAATAGTGTCCTTATTAAGAGACACCAGAGAGCTTGCTGTTTCCTCTGCCATGTGAGGACGCAGAGAAGAGGTCAGCTGCTCAAGAAGACTCCTCACCAGAAACCAAACTGGCAGGCACCTTAAGCTTGGAGTTTCTAGCTTTAGAACTGTGAAAAGTAAGTTTCAGTCGTTTAAGTCACCCAGTCTGTGGGATTTTGTTACAGCAGCCAGAGATTCTGTTACAGAGCAGACCAATACAAGGGCCAAATGATGATTCTGAAGGAGGGATTAAAAGAAAGTTAAGCAGGAGTAAAACATATTTACAGGCAAGATAAAATAAAAACACAACTTCACTCATCTTTATTAGTTCTACTTTGGAAATTAAGAAAAAGTAAACAGAGATGTGGAAAAAATTTCAATTTATTTATAATAAGAAAAAAGGGGTTAACTATTGTAGGTTATATCCCTTAAAAGTGCAGCAAACAATCCTTTAAAAGCAGCAAAGAAGAGGGTCTAAGATGGCTTATAAATTACCAATGTTTACACTATAAACAGCAAGTTACTTTACCTATCTAAGCTTAAGTTTCCTCATCAGAAATTGGGGCTAACAGTTTAGTACCTACCTTCTAAGTCTGTTTTGAGGATTAAATTATATGTGTAAAGTGACTGACATGGTATTCGGCAACACAGTAAATGTATAGCAATTGTCTACTATTAGGATTTTTTTTTTAAAAAAATATGATACAAAGTTAAATATTATGGGTATAGCACAACTACTACAACTATGAAAATAAACAATAATGTATAAAGGACTAGAAGTTGTACTCGGATGACTATATGATTTCTCCTCTACTTTTATGCATTTTCCAGTTTTTCTTTAATGAGCCTATTGCTGTAGTTTTGAGGGTTTTTTTTTCTTTTTAGTGAATTCTAAAATAAAACAGAATACATACACACACACACACACACACACACACATATATAAAAGTACTTAAGAGTAAGGGTAAAATGTAGTAAATATTCAGAAAGTATCACAGTCAATAACAGAATATTAATACTTTTATCTGGAGCTGAAGAAAAAGAAAGTGGCTAAGAAACAATCAATGCCCATTAGTCAATCCTAAACTGGAGGAAAAACACTTTGGTACAGTACTTCTTAAAGTGTGATCTACCAACCACTTGGATTAGAATCACCTGCAGATTCCTGGGCTCCCCTACTATTATACCAGACTCTCTGGGAGTGAAACCCCAGAATTCACATTCTGAATGAGGACCCCAAGAGATCTTTATGTATGCTAGAGTTTGAGAATGACCAATATGGCCGAGTGTGCCAGCTTTGTAACCAAACACATCTGAGTTCAAATCTTAACTCCACCAGCTACTAGTTTTGTGATAATGGGGAAAAGTTACCTAACTTCACTGTATCTCAACTATCTTACCTGAAACACAGAGGAAATATAACTAATTATTTGGAAGGCTTATTGTGAAAAATAAATAGCATGTGTATTTTATATGAGTGCTCAAACCACATGAGTACTCAGTATCTAGCACTTGTCATAAACTATAGTCAAGGAGGAACAGTTTCAATGATAGAATCTTAAACACCTAAAAAGCACCTGAGCAATGTTTTAATGCAAGGCTCTCAAACTGGTTAAGGGGCAAAGAAACTGGAAGTCACTGTTCTTTGTAGAATGCTACTATACACTAATATATCTAAACACACAATACAAACTAGGAAATCTATTGTGTGAGTAAAACAGATAAATGACATCCACTTGCACTCCTGTCAGTTAAAAAAACATGCAGTGGAACTAAGCATAATTGGCTGTTTTGAGCATTTCAGTAAATATAAACTTTCACTAATCGTTCACTTGCTGGCACCAGGTAATAGGAATCTGGAAATAAAAATGTCAGAATAAAATCTATAATTGAGAACATTTTATCTTTTTTCCCTGTTAACTAAAAAGCCCACTTTTTCAATTTTAGCAGCAGTGTAGCTTGATAAACAGCAGTGTTCTGTGATAGCTTTTTCAGAACTACTGTTTTAGCCTAATTCCCTCACTTTATATAACAAAATCTGAAGTCTAGAATGGTTATATGCTTTTCCCAAAGCTACAGACTGTGGCAAAGATAGACTTACAGTCCAGATATTTCAGTCTCCATCCCCATGTTCCTTCCATAAGGTGCATCTCTACTGCTTTGAGCTCATTCACAAAGCAATATGTCTACCTAAATTTAATTTACTGAAATGAGTCACAGAATCACATGATACAGAATTTAATTTATAAATGGTATTTAAAAAAAAAAACAAAACCCTCTCCCATTCCTGTCTCTCAGCCCCTCAGTTCTCCTCCTAGACAGGACCAATGCTATCAGTTCTGTGTCGGTTTGTTTCTTAAAGGGTCTCCACTTACCTTCGTTCGGCAGGTACGGGCAAGGACCAGACTTCTCCCTCAGATGCTGGAAGCTCGTGTTGTGCAGCTTTTAATGGAGTGCTGTCTAGTTTAAAGCTCTCTAGTGTTTTCATGATATCCTTAACGTGTTTCGCTTCCACGTTTATTTCCTGCCAAACCTGATTTCAAAGAAGAATGTGGTTCTTTACATTTCTGTAACTAATAAATCACTGCCAAATTAAGTTGGGCCATTTATTAAGAATGCTAGAAGCCTCTATTTTGACATCAGATATCCAGGAAACCATACCAAAATGTTTTGTTGAAATTTTAATAACAGATCATAAATTCTTTAAGTACAAAATTAATTCTGATAAAATGAATAACGTGTTCTGGCTAATTAGGCCATCGCTACTTATAGTTCTTATTCAAAGTGCATAACAAGTTTAAAAGTTACCTGTATCTTTAAAGTTTGGTAAAAAATATGACTTCTGCAAGTTGTGCTTTGACGGTTCTTATGTTACTTAACGGACTTTAAAAACGCTCATTAGAATTGACTAATTTCACAATTCACTGATGGAATGCATCCCACAGTTGGAAAAATAAAGCTTCAGAAGATAAATGGCTCAATTCACATACAACCTATATATTTTTTTTAAAAAAGCTGCCTTGACTCAACTTCAAAATGATATATATTTCATATATGAAGCTAGCAATGTTTGGTTTTAAAACTAAATGATTTAAATATCCTTTTTTTTTCTCTACTTTTTTTTAAAAAACACATTTAATCTTGGCATTTCCCTGGTGGTCCAGTGGTTAAGACTTCACTTTCTAAAGCAGGGGGTGGGGGTGCAGGTTCAGCCTCTGGGTGGGGAGCTAAGATCCAACATGCTCTGGGGCCAAAAAATCAAAACATAAGACGGAAGCAATGTTGTAACAAATTCAATAAAAATTTTAAAAAATATAGTCAATCTTTTATTTTTATTTATTTTTGGCCACAGCACGTACCCTGCAGGTTCCCACAACAGGGATTGAACTTGTGTCGTGGAAATGTGGAATATTAACTACTGGACAGCTAGGGAATTTCCAATTTAAATATTCTTATAAAAAAGTTTAGACTTCTTAAGTAAAAGTTGCTGGCCTAAGAACAAAAGGTCTTAAAAGTCTTTCAGTGGCAAATTTAAGACACTTTACGAAATATTTTCCCCTTCTAATGTAAAATATGAAGACGAAGATTTAAGGAAAGAGGTTAAGTTCACAGAGGTAGACCATTTCTCTGTTAAAGAAATTAAGGACAAATATGGAATATTATTTTAAAAGCAGTTTAGTAAAACTTGAGGGTAATAGTCTATCTAGAAGATCAGCTCAAAAAGACTATTAATTTCTATAACATTTCTCTCCTGGGACATTGTTGAACCTTATTGTAAGTGACACATCCAACTGGATGTGTAAGTTCTATAGTTTCTATTTATAAATTTTTTCCCTCATGGCTCAGTGGTAAAGAATCGGCCTGCAATGTAGGAGCCGCAGAAGACTTCGGTTCCATCCCTAGGTCGGGAAGATCCCCTGGAGGAGGGCATGGCAATCTGCTCCAGTATTCCTGCCTGGAGAATTCCGTGGACAGAGAAGCCTGGTGAGCTACAGTCCATGAGGTCGCAAAGAGTCGGACACGACTGAAGCAACTTAGCAAGCACAGAAATTTCTACTGTTCCTCGGTGGCTAAGATTCCTCACATGGGATTCAAGTATGGTCTGATTTATGACGTCCTATAGGGAATACAGTACATGTGAGATTCAGGTGTCATCAGCTTAATAAAGTCAATTCTAATTTTACCAGGTCAAAATGTGATCTAGAAAAAAATTTCAAAACCATTCCTATTAGATTCCAAAAATTAGAATAACTGAGTAGAACTCATAATACTGATGACGGTGACTATGACACATCATTTTAAGTAACTTTATATACAAATCCATATAATAAATTATACAGTCTTAATGCATAACTGCAAAAGCACTATCTATTTAAATCTGAGTATTTTAAACCACTGAAACAAACCACAGTCATGAATCTTACCTGTTGCCATTTCTGCTGGAGGTATGTGTCTTTGACTGAGCACAGATACTTGTTCATTTGGTCAAGAACTCCCTGATAGTAGACCACTGCAGAGTCGTAATTTCCCAGCAATGCATATTCACGGGCCAGCTTCACATTCTCACTAATCATAAGAAGACTCATGCTCAACTACAAGCTAAAAAAGGAAAATTTCATATTAGGTCTTTTAAAAATAAGTACAAAGAGTTTTTTTTAAAAAAGCATACGTTTCAAGGATCCCTGAAGAAGCTCGCTTTTACACACACTGCATTTTCCATCTCTGTACATTTGCTTATGATAATTTCCACTCCTTCAGAGAAATTTCTTAGTTCCCACAGTCAAACCCTACCTATGTGTCAAAGTCCCACTCAGATAAGTAGCAATTATCCCAGTATGTCTACCTTCCAAACTTGCAGTTCAGAAAAAGCCCTCCCCCTTCTAAGGACCCCTGGTACTTGACTGGAGCCCTTCATCTCAAGGCACTTGTCTACCTTGACTCTCTGAGAGCAGGAAAAGATCTGAGTTAGTAACTTCAGTGCATGAAATACAAGTCTTATGGAATATCTGCAGAACAAATGTAGAATGTTAGATGCTTTTCTTGGAAGGCAGTGTGAAATAGAGAAAACACATGTTTTGATGTTAGAAGAATCTTGGTAGAATTCTAATTTTGCCACCTTTGTCAAGCCCTTTATCTTTTCTGAGCCTTAGTTTTTAAATCTGTAAATTGGATAGTTACTACTTCCTTTTTGTTTTTAACCACATCACACAGCTTGTGGGAGGGATCTTAGTTCCTCCAACAGGGATTGAACTCCTAGACTCTCAGCAGTGAAAATGCAGAGTCTTAACCACTGGACTGCCAGGGACTGCCCAAGTAACCATACTTCCAAGAGTTGCACTATAAGGAATAAACGACTATTTAAAATAGCCAGCACACTACTTGGCAAAGAGTAGGCCTTCAATAAATGCTAACTGCACCTTCCCTGAAACTTTTCATATGCAAAACCAAGCATAGTCTTTGTACTTAGTAGCATGTGGATATATGGATATGGGGTTTTCATAGGTAGGTTTTTGCTTACCCTCTAGACAGCAGATAATTTCAACGACATAAAAATTGGTCCAGAAAATAAGGGAAAACTGATCAACTTTTTATGAGGTAGAAAGTGAAAGTGTTAGGCGCTCAGTGGTGACCGACTCTTTGCGACCCCATGGACTGTATGTAGCATGCCAGGCTCCTCTGTTCATGAAATTCTCCAGGCAAGAATACTGGAGTGGGTTGCCTTTACCTTCTCCGGGGTATCTTCTTGACCCAGGGATGGAACCCACATCTCCTGTGTCTCCTGCACTGCAGGTGGATTCTTCACTTGCTGAGCCACCAGGGAGCCACCATCTCAATTTTCAAAACGAATTAAGAACAATACAAAGCCTACCTCACTTAGGACCACGATGTGGTCATCTTAAATAAAAGATTAGCTAACTAACAGTGTATCAGCAAGGAGACACGTGCACGTGCGTGTGTGCGCGCACACACACACACACTCCACGATCAAGAAGGTTTACCTCAGGAATGTAAGGATAACCTAAGATCAGAAAATCCACCTTATAATTCCTCACACTAACAGACAAAAGAAGTTCATACAAAAACGCGTAGCACATGAACGGCAATTTATGAAGGGGAAACCCAAATCGTTAACAAGTATAGATACTAGTAACAGAAGAATGCTAATAAAGTGTGAGACCTCTTTTACATTAACTAGATTTAAAAAAAAAAAAATTAGTACTGGCAAGAATTTGGGGAAAAAAACATCCCCTCACATAAATTTGTGGGCATAAACTCCAATCATTTTGGAGAGCGATCTGGTAGTACTTAGAGAAATTATGTACACAGCTATCCTATGATGCTGCCACCCTACTTTTCTATAAATACTCCAGACAAAGTTTCACACAGATCCACAAAAGAACTTGTTTTCAGATGTTAATGACAAAACTGTTAGAGATACCCAGTAATTGGAGGCTTTTTTCTTTTCAAGTTTTCAAGTTTTCTTTTCAAGATTTCCTGCTAGGGAAAAGATAAGGAAGTATGGTGCCTGCACTAACGAATACTACGTAGCAGATGGAAGCAATGAAGATGATGTACAAATAACAACATGGATATATTGTCAAAATACAGGGTTAAGGGGATTTCCTGGTAGTCCAGTGGTTAGGACTTGACACTTATTGCCGAGGGTCTGAGGATTCAGTCCCTCGTTAGGGAGCTAGGATCCCACAAGCTGCTAGGCCAAAAAACAAACAAAAAGTACAGGGCTGGGTGAAAAACAAACAAACTTAGACACAGAACAAGGTCTAAATCCCCAATACCATTTTATAAACTTAAAAATATGCTATATATGTGGTATATAAAACACTCTTTTTCAAAGGATACATACACATCCAAGAACATATATTAAATATATTATAGTGTCTACAGAGGGTAAGATAGGGAAATATGAGTGGAGAATGAGGATGAAGGGTAGTGTTAGGGTTAAATAACTACAACAAAAGAAGTGCCTTATATCCATCAGTAATCACCGAGAGCCTGTAACATGGCTCTCAATGACCTCTGCCTCCTGGTGTCCATTCTCCCCCTGAATGTAAGCTCGTAACAAACAGAATGCACGAAAATAACGAAACGTCACTTCTGAGATTACACTGTGACTTCCGCCTTGCTCACCGTCTTCTGCTCTCTGGTGGGACCACTCCAAAGGAAGCCCAGCTACCATGCCTCGAGTTGGCCATGCAGAGGCTCATGCGGCAAAGATCTGACGGAAGCCCAAGGGCAGCAGTGAGGAACTGAGGGCCTCAGTCCAATGGTCCAGAGACACTGAATCCTGCCAACGACGCCGTGAGGGAGCGGGGAAGTGGATCTCCCTCAGCCGACCCTTGAGGTAACGGCAGCCTTGACTGGTACCTTGACTACAGCCTGTGAAAGACTCTGAATCAGAAGCGCCCAGCTAAGCTATGCCCAGAGCCTAACCGGAGAAACTGTGAGATAACAAATGCTTGCCATTTTAAGCCATTTAGTTTTCGGTTAATTTGTTTTCAAGTAGTACAGCTATGAACTGGGTCTATAAGTAATTCAAGACTGATCATCTGAGGTCCAAAAGAAAAGGGGAAAAAAAAAAATCCCATGACTTTCTGGAGTCATGACCATGGATAATATTCCACCTGAATGAAAGCTCTGGGTCAGGGACGTGACTCTCTGTTATTTTATGGATATATCCCCAGCACCATGCAGCCTCTCACTCGGCAAATCTTTGGATGAATGAGTGCTGCCAGGTTTTGTCTAACTACTAAGATTTCTTACCTTTGTCCAGTTTCTCACCCTCAGCACGCTCACATTCCCTGATCCTCAACTCATCCCTACTACAAACTGTGACTGCTCGGCTCTGAAGCTACATATGCCCGAGAGTGACACCCAGTCTGGGGAACAATGTAAGAAGAGCACAGCTGGGGCCTGTCAGAAGGTGTTCCAAGTCTGGGGAGCAATGTAAGAAGAGCACAGCTGGGGCCTGTCAGAAGGTGTTCCAGGCCATACTGCTTGCAGCAGTACGTCCCTGATCAGGACAAGCAAGGACGGCGACCTCGCACGTCTTTTCCTTCCTTTAACACACTCCTTTCAGCTCTTTGATCACCCCCACCCCACCCCCACTTTAAAAAAAATCTAAATTGCTGCCCTTTTGTTTTTCTGAGGGCCAGGGTTCACTGTCCCAAAACTCACAGACGTCACTCCAGGCCTTCTTTGAAGGTTCTGTGTTATGGATACTTCTTTCTACTCAGATAAAATTCCTAAGGAGTCAATGAATGGGCATTTCCTAACAAACAAATGTAAAGTCAACCCAAGGCCACATTAAAAATGACCTAAAAATTCCTGGTTATCAAAGAAAAGATGGATTTACTGAAAATGTATCAAAATACTACTCAAAATCTAAATGTCAGACAAAAAATAAATTTTCCAATTCTTTTACCATCTCTAAGTCTAAGACACTCTTCTCAAATGAATGTCAACATTGTAAGTTTACAGGAATCTTCAATTTCCAAGAATATATCCTTAGTTGTGCCTGCATTCTCAGTCATGTCCGACCCCGCACCGGCAGGCAGATTCTTTACCGCTGAGCCTCCTGGGAAGCCCTGGTGGCTCAATGGTAAAGAATCCTATCCATCTGTCAATGCAGGAGATGCAAGTTCAATCCCTGGGTCAGAAAGATCCCCTGGAGGAGGAAATGGCAACCCACGCCAGCATTCTTGCCTGGGAAATCCCATGGACAGAGGAGCCTGGCGGGCTACAGTCCACGGGGTCACAAGGAGTCGAATGACTTAGCAAAGAAACAACAACAATATATCCTTACCATTGCCAAAATTACACTTCAGGAAGACAGAATTTGGGTCTACCTGACACAGTATCTGGCAATACTTGAAGAAATGAATATATATGAAGAAAAGCCCTTAGACCAAATTTTAACCACAATGAACTGAAAACACTACCTATTGATTCAATTAATACCAAATGAGATTGTAAAATTATAAAAATGAGATTGTCCAAAAATACACTGCTGGTTTTTAAAGAGAGATTATTAAAAAGAAAAATAACCATAAGTATAGGTTATGCATGCCTTATCTGGATAAAAAATGTAAGTTTTTCCTTTATGTGATCCTTCCTGTCAGAACCACTCTTTTGCTTAAATGTCTGAGTATTTAGTTTATGATGAAATTCATTCATTTAACCTAAGTAAGATGCAACATGAAATTTTAATTCAAGTAACAGAGCCTCCTGATGAGGGTTTCTGAAAGAGGAGAGTGAAAAAGCTGGCTTTAACTCAACATTCAGAACTAAGATCATGGCATCTGGTCCCATTCACTTCACGGCAAATAGATGGGAAAAGTAGAAACAGTGACAGATTTTATTTTCTTGGGCTCCAATATCACTGCAGACTGTGACTGAAGCCATGAAATTAAAAGACACTTGCTCCTTGGAAGAAAAGCCATGACAAACCTAAACAGCATATTAAAAAGCAGTCATTAGCTTGCCATATTGTCTGTGCAGTCAAAGCTATGATTTTTCCAGTCTTCCTGTATGGATGTGAGAGTTGTATCATAAAGAAGGCTAAGTCCTGAATTGAGGCTTTTGAACTGTGGTGCTGGAGAAGACTCTTGACAGGCCCTAGGACAGCACAGAGATCAAACCAGTCCATCCTAAAGGAGATAACCCTGAATATTCATTGGAAGGACTGATGCTGAAGCTGAAACTCCAATACTTTGGCCACCTGATGCCAAGAACCAACTCACTGGAAAAGACCCTGATACTGGGAAAGAGAGAAGGTGAGAGAAGGGGACAACAGAGGATGAGATGGCTGGATGGCATTACCGATGCAATGGACATGAGTTTGGGTAAGATCCCGGAACTGGTGATGGACAGGAAAGCCTGGCATGCTGCACTTCATGAGACCACAAAGAGTCAGACACGGCTGAGCAACTGAACTGAACTGAACTGAACTGAGAAGGGGACGACAGAGGATTAGATGATTGGATGGCATCATCAACTTAAAAGATATGAGTCTGAGCAAACTCCGGGAGATAGTGAAGGACAGGGAAGCCTGACGTGCTGTAGTCCATGGGGTCACAAAGAGTCAGACACAACTTAGCAACTGAACAATAGAGTCAAATTATTTTAAACACTAAAAACTCAGTATTAGAACAAAATTTCTAGCAAACTTGATGCGATGCTATGTAGTATTTTTGCTGCTGCTGCTACTAAGCTGCTTCAGTCAAGTCTGACTCTGTGCGACCCCACAGACGACGGCAGCCCACCAGGCTCCTCTGTCCCTGGGATTCTCCAGGCAAGAATACTGGGGTGGGTTGCGATTTCCTTCTCCAGTGCATGCATGCTAAGTTGCTTCAGTCAAGTCTGACTCTGTGTGACCCCATAGACAGCAGCCCACCAGGCTCCTCTGTCCACAGGATTCTCCAGGCAAGAATACTGGAGTGGGTTATCATTTCCTTCTCCATAGTATCTCTATAAAGAGACAAAGTATCTTTACTCCTCCAGGATTAGGGAAAGAAGCATTCAAAGAGACTGAAAAAGGTTACAGACCCAAATATCTGAGTTCTAAGATTTCTGTTCTCTGCCCAGAACAAATACCGGGCCTTCCCAATTCCACACCTAAACAGGATACCATGCCCAATTAATTTTTAAAGGAATCTCAGACAGGGTTCCACTCTCACTACAGTTTTTACTGTAATGTGCAAAGGTCATTCATTCAAGAAATATTACGGAACACACACAGAGGTGCAAGGAAAATAAGACAGACTTTGAAATCCTTTAAGTTTAGTGGGATATCATTTTATTTATCCTCAGTGTGTTTTTTTTCTTTGCTAAGCAGGAGGAAACACAGAACATTATTAAGCACACGCTAAAAAATCAGTATCAATGTTAAAAAATATTTACCTGCAAAACTAATGTCCTAAATTAAAAACAGATGAGGCTCAATTACGCATTTTCCTGCGGGCATTTCAGTTAGCTGAGTGTGTGTAACTTCAGCAGTGACAATACACTGTGAAGCAATTTTCAGAATGTTCATCTCTGGAATATGAAAGCAACCATAATGCTAATTTAGAATCAGTCACTGATGATTACAAATAAGTACAATAAATAGTGACCAATGACCAAGTATAGCATGGCATACATTCATACCTTTATAATCATCATGATAAATACTCAAGAAGTGAAAAAATGTTATCACTACAAAAAAAGCACCAAGAGATACCCGGTCAAGAAAACAAAAATATATATATGTATTTGGTAAACTTTCAGTTTACCTCGAACAAAACAAATCAGTGAATATAACAATTAAAGTGTAACTTAGAAGCCATATCAATAAACACCACAGGCAGAACCTATTTAGCATGTTATCAATATTGACCATACTGATTTGATACAGTATCTTTTAAACCAGTCAAGCACTAAAAAGCAAACAAGCCCAGACCATTGTTGTAAACCAAAATTCAACACTGTTGTTAACACAGTAAATTCTACAAGATTCTCTAATCCTTAGTATTTGTCAGAATCGTGATACCAGTTTCAAAATAAGATGCAGAATCCATTGCAGACTATGGGCCTAGCACGGAATCTTTAAAATGTAAAAGCTACTTGAGTAACTTATGCCATAAAGGACCTTTACATAGCTTTTCATAGTCTAAGAATGTTGGAAAGTTGACTGGCATTGAAAATAAGTAAAAGGAAAACGTGAATAAAAAAACACGTTGATTGGCACTACCTCTTTATTTTTTTTTTTAAGGCATGAAACAAGTCACAAGTTAATACTTGTATTAATAATGCAAGACAAAGAGTTTTGCCACTGTTTCTTTGTGTGTGAACTCACTGATTACAAAAACCATCGCCTTTGGAAAAGAAAACAGGACTGCACTCAGATATTTTGGCCTGTATGAACATCACAAGAATCTTTCTTGATACCTTGGGTGTTCTAGCATTGTGACTATGTGGCAAAGATACATCGCACACATTCTAAAACATTAAGAACGTCCTCAGCAGCACCTAAGGGTCTGATTTCAAAGAGGAAGACACACATGAGTGCTTTTAAAAGAGAGAGGTGCAGCAGTGTGTTGTCAGAAGTTGGTAACTGATATAAAAATGGCACTTGGCACTTAAAAGAGAAAATTATTTTCGAGTCAACGAGGGCTTGAGTCTATCCCCCACAAGGCAATAAGGATCCACGTCCATCTCTAACTTTTATCACCACATAATATACAATATGAAACAAAGTTTCGAGGGATACTTTTTCTAAAAGGTACCAACTTGAAACAAACAAAAAGAGTCGTTAGCCTCCTGTAGGATGCCCAGCTCCAAAATAAGTAAGAAATAACATCCTCAACAATATCACAGCTACCTAACAAAATGTAATCCCCAAAGTCAAGGCTTTTGCTTCCCCCCCCCCCCAACCCAGGGGAGAGGGTTTCGGGCGGAGAACGTGTCAAAAAAGGGAAGAAATAAAAACAGGTTCGTCGACCGGAGACGTCTCTAACGACATAGGCCTAGAATGGGATCGACAGGGGCCCCCAAAAGTCTCCGGCCAGACAGGCTTCCTCAGGTAGGAGGACCGCCACCCGAGCCACAGGTGTTAGCGACAACAGCGAGGACCTAGAACCTCGGCGCAGGCACCGGCAGGCTCACAAGCAGAATGCGCAGCGAGATCGCATCACAGGCTCCCGAGTCCCTCCGAGCCCCGATCACGGGGGTCCGGGATCCCCGCGACACTCACCTGTGGCGCAGAGGCTCTCGGGAAACCGCCCACTGCCGGGCGGAGGGGGAGGGCCGAGCGGGGCTCCGGGCAGCGAGGAAGGAGGGCCCTGTCCTGTCCTGCCCCAACCACCCTGCTCTGTGCTCACGGACCCAGCACTGCCTGGTCCAACCGTCACGAGCCCCAGATGCTGTTTCAAGTAGCCCACAATTTGAAGGCAGACCCGCCAGGGTCACTTCCGGTGCCAAGGGTGGCCTCGGTGACTCCAGCGCACGCGGGGCGACGCCCCGGGAGCGAGGACGCCAGGCGGCGTGCGCGCGCCGGGCGCCAACTGGGCGGGGCCAACGGAGGTGGGCGGGACCGACGGCGTGGGCGGGGCCGACGGGCGCGTCGGCGCAGTCCCGGGCAACCGCCTTCCCTGCGGACAGGTCAGGCCGAGAGGTGGCGATGAGTAAAATGAGTACTACGGCTTCCAGTTCCTCGATGTTTTCCGAAGTGCTTTGCTCGCTTTTCCCCCCACTTGATTTTCTCCTAACCTGCTCAGAGGTTAGAAGAATTATAGTTTTTGTTTTACAGGTGACTGTCAAGGGTCATACAGTTCGTTTATGACAAATCCGGTTTTAGAACCAAACAGAATTTGGCTGCGGCGCTTCTAGCGATATAACATGAATACTATAAAATAGAGAATGAGTGACCAAAGATATTAGGACACAATGCTGGTGAAATTTTATTTTCTTTTTTTGGTCAACGTTTTAATGCAACCAAACTACAAATACAGTTATGATGTTCCACGATGTTTAGAAATACACGTAATGGACAGTTAGTACTTGTGGACAGGCTTCCTCCAGTCTAAATCTCCAGCCTTTTCCTTCACCTGAGGTGAAATAGACGCACTTAAGACGCGATTTCCTCTAGATGGGCTTGGTAATTAAAATTCTGACTTTACAGCATCCCTGCTTTAAAAATATTTAACATACTGATTTTAAATCCCCTAATTTAACACAGGCTTATATAAAGGCAATTCAAGGGAAATACATCCATTCAGTCCACAGATGTTTATTAATCGAGTACTTATGTGCCAGGTGACATTGTAGGCATTGAGTATATACATAGTTAACAAAATAGGATGTTTCATGAAGCTTAAAGTCTTGTAAAATTCTCAGCTAAGTAGAAAATAATAGTTTTGCTATGATGCATGTAAACTCTATTATAATGTTAAAGTATAATTAGTATAAGAAAATACAGTGTATCTTTTTGAAATGAAAAAATATTCAAGAAGGTACAGATTAATTACCTTAGTTAGACTGAATTAAACTTTAATTTTTCTAAGAGTGAAAAGATATGTTGAATTATACAGGCAATTTATAATTTAGTTTTAAAACTTCTCAGAGGGCACAAAATGAATACATATTACATGATTCCATTTATATGAAATTCTAAAACAGGCAAAACTAGCCTACATTAATAGAAAGAGGCTGGACTGGGGGCTAGGAGAAATGAGGGAAAAGATTATATTACCAGAAAGCATGAGGAAATGTTTTTGAGGTGGTGGAAATGTTCTGTATCTCAATTAGTATAGTGGCTAAGTAGGTGTGTATGTTCATTAAAACTCTTTGAACAGTACACATAAAATGGATACATTTTACTGTACGTAATTTATACCTCAGTGAAGTTAATAAAAAAATCCAAATAGTGGCTTACACTACTGTTTCTTATTGGTTGTAGGGTGTATTGTTTCTAGGGAGACTATTCTGTTGTTGTCTTAGTCACTAAAGGTATTCTGTAGTAACCTCTACGCTGAAGAGGTTTCAAACACTCTTCTTATTTCCTCTATATGTTCATGTAGAGTGGAGGCAGGCACTTGGGAACAGTTGGAAAAAGAAAACGAGTCACTTGTCCAACTTCTGCCTGGGTATGAGAGGTGCCACCTCTGCCCACATTTCATTGGCCAGAGCAGGTCATGTGGCCAAACCTGTCTTCAAAGTGATGGGACATTGAGAAACATACTTGTGTACCGCCTTCATGAGTACTACACTAGTCATTTCTTCTTTTACGGTGTGGTTTCTACAACCACCACCCCTCTAAAATGATTATATCCAAACTGGGACTCAGAGAAACTGGAGATGAGTTTTTCCCTGGTGTATGGTGACATAGATTTGGTAGGATCATAAGATACATACAGGGAAGTTAACAAAAATTAGGTAAAAAAGTAGGTGCCAGTAGAGATTAAATTTTATTCAGTAGGTATCAAGGAACCATTGAAAGCTCAGATGAAGGCATACTTTATAAAGGAATAGGAAGATTAACTTGATAACTGTGAGTAGAAAGGTTTGGAGGGGAGAGAGAATTACACAGAGGGGACAACATGAAGACTACTTCTCAACATTATGTATTTGCTGTCTCTTTGCCCTCTTTTGGGCTTCCCTGATAGCTCAGCTGGTAAAGAATCCACCCCCAATATAGGAGATCCTGGTTCAATTCCTGGGTTGGGAAGATCCCCTGGAGAAGGGATAGGCTACTCACTCCAGTATTCTGGCCTGGAGAATTCCATGAACTGTATAGTTCATGGGGTCACAAAGAGTCAGACACTACTGAGTGACTTTCACTTTCACTTTGCCCCAGTAGATAAATGATATAAAGTTACATACTTCCTCCATTTGGCTGGGGCAATGTCTGGCTTATGGTAGGCATTACTTAGATACTTGCAGGATAAACACATTGTCATTAAAAAAAAAAAAAAAGAATTCAGAGACACTTTTTACATTTTATCAGAGAAATCTAAAGGACTTTCAGGACTAGTTTCACTCATCTGGTCTATTGCATCTGGCTGTTCTCCTCCAAAAATCTGAGCCATCTCTTCAGGTACAGAATCTGTATAAGACTAGAAAAGTGTAACCATGATTAAGAACCTCCAAAAAGAAAAAAAAAAAAAAAGAATTCCTTGGTAGCCTACTGGTTAGGATTCTGGATTCAGTCCCTGGTCGGGAAACAGATCCCACATGCCACACAGTGCAAAGAATCTGCTGAATTTTTAGTCCCTGGAAACAGATCCCACATGCCACACAGTGCAGCCACACACACACACACACAAAGAATCTGCTGAATTTTTATTACTAGATTATGTCACAGTATTTGAAGGAACAAACTGAGATAGATCCTCAGTGCTATCTGAGGATAGTGAGATATCACTATCTCACTAGTGATAAGAATGTTCTTCCTAAATAATAGCTTCCATTCTTCCTAAGTAATATTCTTCCTAAATAATAGCTTCTTCCTTCCTAAATAATAGCTTCCATCACAGACTGGCTACTCCCAGATTGCTGAATGCCATAGGAAAAACAAATCACACCACCTTGAAGGCTGATGCACAATTGCCTATCTCCCCCACCTGACACACATTTTTCTGCATGTGCTCAGTTCTCTCTCTTACTCTTCACTTTAGTTATTTCAGATTTGCACCACTGTCCTCAAGCCAGCCACATACCCCTTTCTGACCTTTCAGCAAATCACTTTATCTCCACCTTCAGAGAAAATACCTGTCCTATTCTTCGTGATCCTATGGACTGCATGCAGCACACCACTCTACTCTGTCCTTCACTATCTCCCAGAGTTTGCTCAAACTTATACCCATTGAGTCAGTGATGCTATTCTACCATCTCATCCTCTGTCGTCCCCTTCTGCTGTTGCCCTCAATCTTTCCCAGCATCAGGGTCTTTTCTAGTGAGTTGGCTCTTTGCATCACGTGGCCAAAGTATTGGAGCTTCAACTTCAGTAACAGTCCTTCTAATGAATATTCAGGATTGCTTTCCCTTAGGATTGACTGGCTTGGTCTCCTAGCAGTTCAAGGGACTCTCAAGAGTCTTCTCCAGCACACAATTCGAAAACATCAATTCTTCGGCGCTCAGCCTTCATGGTCCAGCTTTCTCATCTGTATATGACTACTGGAAAAACCACAGGTTTGACTATATGGATTTTTGTTGGCAAAGTGATGTCCATGTTTATTAGAGAAAATGGGAGCTATCAGATTGAAACTCCCTCAGCTTGCTCACTGAGACAGAGACTACCATCTGCCCACCAAGTCCTCATTTTCCTAAGTAACAAAGTCTTCCTTGATTAAGTTGGGCTGCTTGGAATAACGACTACATTTTCCAAGACTCTCATGCAGCTAGGTGTGGCCATGGATCTAACTTGTGGCCAGTGGAAGTGTCACATAGAACTTTTAGGAAGGTACCTTACAGGGAGAGGCCCTGAAAATCCCCCTTCCAGTCACACCATCCTCTTTTCAGAAGGTTAGAACATGGAAAAAACTGGATGGAGTATGAGCAGTCAACTCTGACCATGAATGACCTTTAGGATGTAAGCCATGTGAAGATAGCAGAACTGTACAGATGAAGTATGGACTGGCGCTATGGAGCTGCTATACCAGGTGATGACTGCCAACTCTAGTCAGCCTAAGCAATTGTTTTGGATTTTGTGTGTGTGTGTGTGTGTGTGTGTGTGCACGCTCAGTTGTGTTCAAGTCTTTGTGACCCCATGGACTGTAGCCTGCCAGGCCCCTCTGTCCATGGAATTTAGAAGGCAAGAATACTGGAGTGGGTTGCCATTTCCTACTCCAGGGGATCTTCCTGGGAATTGAACCAGATACTGTGTCTAAACAGTCCTTGTTTTGGGTTTCTTATGCCTTATAACCTAATCCTAATAGTTTGACCAACATACAAACGTCTCTATTTCACACTTGCTCTTTCATTTGGCCTGTCTCATTGAAAGTATATCTTGCTTAGTCTAAGCCCAGTTCCTCCACTTGGACTTAAAGATTCTATTTTTTAAATTTTAATTATTTTTGACTGTGCTGGGTCTTTGCTGCTGAGCAGGCTTTTCTCAAGCTGCAGCAGGCGGGGGCTCCTCTCTAGTTGCAGTGTGCAGGCTTCTCATTGTGGTGGCTTCTCTTATTGCAGAGCACGGGCTCTAGGGTATGTGGCCTTCAGCAGTTGCAGCTCGAAGGCTCTAGAGGACAGGCTCAATAGCGGTGCACGGGTTCAGTTGATCCCTGGCATGTGGGATCTTCCTGGATCAGGAATTGAACCCATGCCTTCTGCACTGGCAGGCAGATTCTTTACCACGGACTCACCAGGGAATCCCCAAGATTTTATTTTTTGTTTCCATTTTATGTATTTATATTTGGATAGGCAATGCATTCACATGGTTCAAATTCATAAGTATAAAAGATTATATAGTGGGAAGCCACCTGATGTGAAGAGCCGACTCATTGGAAAAGACCTTGATGCTGGGAAAGATTGAGGGCAAAAGAGGGTGGCAGAGGATGAGATGGTTAGATAGCATCACCAGCTCAATGGACATGAATCTGAGCAAACTCCGTGAGATAGTGAAAGACAGGGAAGCTGGGCACACTGCCTGGGGTCGCAAGGAGTCAGACATGACTTAGCGGCTGAACAAGTGCCAGGCAGTTAACTTGGTTTGATTCTCTGTCGGGCAGCATCTCAGATTAGTTGTGAGACAGGATGCCTTCCACCCAGAATCTGCCAGTTCTCTGTTCCACCTCAGTATCTTTAGGTAGATTTTTATTCTGCCCCCAAGTTTGTAGTTGTGTGATAATCAAGCCATCAGGAGCTTACTTGGTCACACTAGCAAAATCTAGAACTATCTTTCAAGTATGTCATTTGGTTGACAGTTGGATAATAAACTTGAAGGACCTGAATGAAGTTAAAGACTCCAGTTAGAAAGTTCTTACAATAATTCAGGCGAGTTGATGGGGGTCTCAACCAAATTAGTTTAGCCAAACAACAAGGGGTGAAGATGATGAATCAGAAAATGTACTAGTTAAGTAACTGAATTTCATGAGTCATTACATGGGAAATAGTCAAAGTATAAAATGACCTGCTTAAATTATTTTGGAAATCAGATTATATACTAACATGAAGTGTACATTATATTAGTTAGGCTATGAATTCAGCAACAGGAAGGAGTGAGCGGCAGGCTCGAAATATTAATTTTAAGGGTATGAAGTAGAACTGCATATATCACTTCTGCTCATACCCCACTGGTCAAAACTTAGTCACGTGGCACAACTAATTACAAGTGAATATGAGAAACACGTACGTTAGTGACACGTTGAAACATGAACAGGGGCTGGGGGGTGCTGTGTTAGTAAAAGGAAAACAGAATGGAAGTTGGAGAACAAGAGCAGCCTGCGTCAGCCCCTCTGGAAGCTAGGTACCCTCGAGAATCCCCCTTTCCTCAACAGAACAGATTTAACCCTTCTCCAGAGAATGCAACTCAAAGTCCCACCCAGATTCTGAATCCACCAAGATTTCAGGATCTCTGGGTGACTTTACAGAAGGGAGAAGACTGGCTATTTGTGAGAACAATAACTGCCTGTGTTCCAAACATAAATTTGACATCCTCCCTTCAGCCTTCATACACATAAGCGGATACACTGTCTGTGTATTTGCATTTGGCATAACAAGGTATGGTCACAATTTAAGCATGCCAAACATGGATCCAAAATGTATTAAAATGACGAAGCTAATGAACTAGCTAGAAGGAGAGTTCCACAATGGCGCTGGCCAGCGCCACCGTTCATGTGGTAGAAAGAGCTCCCAAGAAGGGCTGCCACAGTGTCGATGGCTGCAGCTGCCCCCCACCTCAATGGGAGACTCTCCAAGACCAGCAGTGTATGTCTCCCATTCAGTTGTCAGCAAGATGGTGTGGGAGTCAGGGGAAATAAGCTTGGGCAAACAGAAACTAAACTGTGATGCAAGTCTGCTGAAACCACAGCCAGCCTGGCGGAGAGCTCTTGGATGATGATGGTAATGACATATGAGGGCAAACACACTGTATACAGGAATTAACAGAATTAAAAGGGAAAATGGGTTGCATGGAATCCTTATCACCTCTCACCCACCAAAAATATGCTAGGTAACTAAAAGGACAAATAATTAATAGGAAATTTTAAAAAATAGTAGTAAAGTGAATCATAAGCATAATGCAGTTTGCATCAGCTACACAAGTCTCATATAGACCAAATATAATTTAAAGTGTGTGCAAACAAGAGGATAAAAGGAGACTTAAGAATGATGGTAATACTTGAAAAAGGTGGGGGAAAAAACCCTAAATATTTGTTCATCCATGTAAAATGGATTTAAGGTATAACATCAACATATATATTTGGTAGGCAGTTCATGTGATAAAGTAAAAGACTGTAAATAAAGAAAAAGATATTAGCCAATAACTTCACATTTTAAAAATCATAAACTGGACTCAAATGATACTAGAAGCAGAGTTTAATAATTGAAAATTATTAATTTTTTAAACCTGTACTGACCTAAAGGAAGCCTTTAACATGAACTATTCATTGTACTTATATTGGACAAAATGAAAACATTTTACTGGGTTACACTAACTCTATTCAGTTTGCCTTAATCTAAGTAGGAATTATCATTAGCTATATATATATATATTTTTTCTTTTTTTTTAATTCCAAAGTATCAGATTTTTGACCATAAATTTTCTGAGAATAAAAAGATTAAATATTTGAATTAAAAAAGTCAACTTACCCTAAAAGCTTTCCACACATAATTTAAAGATTTGAATTTTGCTTTTTTTTTTTTTATTATGATCCCAGCAAATGTTACACTAGAGAAAATGATTGGGAAAATACAAATAGATTCATTAAAAACACAGGCTGATTATTCATTTCTACTACATTCATAAGTATGCAAAACAATTCAGTTATATTGCAAAGCTGTAATTCCTTTTCCTAACAAAGCATTACTTTATAAAACTGTAGTGTTGTACTGATTCAATTTTAATACAAAATACTTATATACATAATACAATATAAAAGTAAACCGTGGTATATAGTGCCTTCACAAGGGATCTATTAAGGCGCTTTACAAATATACCATTATATTGACCAAAATTACTTTTTGTTTTAGATTAAAACAAACAGGCTAAATGTTTTACTTTAAATACCAAAGGGATTTTTGTTTATTTTTGTTTATTAAAGAAAAATGTCTAAAGTACCTTAGGTAACAGCAGCAGCAATATCTAAAAATCCTCCCACTGTATTCTCTAATTTCAACATATTATTAAGTCAGAATAAATCATTTCCTCTCACAGTTTTGCACTTTGCAACAGCAGAAGGTTATAACTTTTTTAAAAAGTCAATTTCAAAGTGACTTCTTAGTCATACATTCTATAGTTTCTATTACAAATAAGGTAGAAAAGATATAGCAACAGGGCCTGCCTTCAGACATCACTGGACAATACATAACTGTATCTACAATTACATAACTACAGAACACATTTCATAAATACCATTGATATGCATAAAAGGGGAAAGTATAAGAAAGACAGCAAGTTTTTTTTTTTAATGAGTGGCAAAATTATTTTAAAAAGAAAACATGACTGGTCAGTGTTTTCACTCTATTTCAACTGAGAGCATATAGATTTTTGACATTGTTCTCATCTTTTTGGCAGGAAGCACCAGATTCCTACTGGAAGATTAGATATAGTTTGGGAATAAGTCAGCTTAATGTAGTTTAATAGTTTGGGAATATGACAGTATATCCAAACGGTTAAAAAAATGCAGATACTAAAGGCTTGTACACTGCTTCATTTAAGTACAAAAAGTTTATACTGTCAGAGAAAATTTAAAAGGATACAGTATTTGTAGTGTCTGTTACATTTGAGGAATAAGGGCAACACAGATTTTGTGGGGAGAGGGAGAAAACAGCACCTTAGTTTTTCTACAATGTAACTGTAACAAAGTTGGTTCTGTACTGTATTGCACCATAGTCCAGAAATAAAAACTAAATGGAAATTTCAATAAATCTGAGAAAGCCTGAAGAGCAAGGGGTAACAACAAAAGTTCTTGAACTAATTTGTTTTGCATAGAATTTTATAGGACTAATCAAATACTCCATGAAGTGAAGACTGCCGTCTTACACAGTGCATTTTCTCACAATTCTGAGTAGAGGTCCTTCAAAATATTTCTATATTAAGCCTGTAACAAGTCAAACATGTATGGTAGTGCCCTTAAAAGTGTGTGTTTAAAGTGGAGCGCTGTTCCAGAAAGAGAGGCATTCATAAGGATATCTTATCACACGGTACAGACCTTTCTCATCATAAATTATCAGTGTTTATACAAGATGTGCTAATCTGAGCACTAATCAGTAAATTTAAAGCAAAGTTCTTAATTTAATACATCAGTGTTCTTACAGGACAGAGGTCCATAACCAAGAGTTTGTGACAGGTTTCAACACATCCAACTGCATGCGACATCTTAGGCATATTTGTTGATGTGCATTTTCCTGGGAAGAGAGCCAATTTTCATCAGATTCTCAAAATGATCAATAACTGCCAAAGACCCACCATTACATACTGGGTTATGCAGTGCTCTGAGAAGGCCACCTATGAAAACATTTTAAGTGTGAGCTAATTAATCTTTGCCCTCCCCAATTCAACTGGAACAGCTTTGCCTTTTTTTTTGCCTTTAATTTTACTTACATATATGATTCCATTAGCTTTTATAAGTTTGAAAATCACTAAAATTATGCCTCTTATCCACAGATACTAAGTTTTGATAAAACAATTCCCTACCAGTGGAGCTTAAGAAAAGCAAATAAAATACAAATTTTACTAATGTTAGAATAGAGCCCTTTTCCCCTTCCTAAAAGATAAGCTAAATGTATTTTGGTATGAAACAAGCTGTCCTTAAAACCTAAGTATTATATATAATAGTAATGCTGAAAAACATATTACTTAACTTTAAATAAGTTATGAGGTTTTGAATTTTCTACTACAACCACTATGTATTTTTTCCTAATTACTAATGGCCACCTTAATTAGGAGTTACATAGTAATAATTTTTTTCACCAATTAATCTGACCATAGGTAAAATGCTGCCAAATAGCCAGACTTTCCTTTGCCAGTAACAGTCCATGTATGCAGCACTGTTTTGAAAGGGGAAATCTATAACATTATTGATGACATAATCCAAACTATCACTATATAGAAAAAGTACCCACAAGTAAGTTCTAATCAAAGTTTTATATGAAGTTGAAAATAATCTCTCTGCTTAACATGTGGAATTATTTCTTTTTTAATTTCAGAATCAAAATATGAAAGATCTTAGCTTTTAGTACTGAACCTTATAATTTATGGCAGCTTTATTCCCTTTAAAAACTGAAAGCAGCATTAAAAATACCAGTATAGAAAGAAAAATGTAGTGATTTGCTTCTTTCAAAGCCATTAATTTTTGAGATATGTTAAAAAATTAAATATTCTATAGAGGGGAAAAAGATAAGCTGCACTATTTTTCATTTGGATGAGCATACTGTATTTCATTTTTGTATTTCATATTTTGTATTCATATTCAACTTTGTATTCCTTATTTATCAAATGTGAATTATACAGATTATCATTAGCCTAGGAACAGTCACCACCATGATGCCTTCATTTCTATAGCTTATTTTTTCCAATAATAAAGTTACAGGGAAAGGGAGAAAAAAAAAAAAGCTCTGTAAATGTGGGGTGTATTTCATATTTGGTTAAAGCAAGATAAAACTAAAACTGTCTTTCAAAAACTTTTCAAAAATTCTTGTTTTTTAAAATTATTTAGCATTATGTACAAATAGATAACAGGCTTCTCCTTTTAAACAAAGCACTATTTTTTATTTTAAGTACTTTAAGTACCAAGAACTGACTATAATATTCAGCTCATAATTTACTTTCTTTATAACAAATTTTTTCTAAATTACTGATTAAAAAGGCTGGAATAAATTAATATTTAAAAGGATTTCCCATAATTTAGGAACATAAAATATTGTACACAGAGCAAACATACATAGCTCTGTCACATTTGCATAATTTTACTCTCAGAGCTTCAAAAAACCCTGCGTTTCAGGCCTTTTTGCAAATCCTCATAACCATTAATTCCTAGCGTGTCAGACATACACTAGATCACGATTTTTCATCTCTGAGCCTGTGTGCTGATCATCTTCATCTGACTGCTGCTCTGAGCCTTGTGAGCTAATATATTCATATTCAATAGGTTTTGGATAATTATAAGGGTAGCCATTGTCATCAAAAAACCTCCGAAAGGTAAACTCATAGAAAGCGTGCTCAGGGTGCTTTCCATTTTTATACCACCCGTTGAGGGTGTCGTTTACATTTTCTTCCTCATTATCATCACTCCGTAACTTGTCAGGATCAACAGGATCAAAATTTGATGTATCTGTTGGGTGTGTGATTTTAGGAATGTATGAAGCAGATTGCTGTCTCAGGTCACTGGAAAAATCAATTGTTTTAAAAAATGGATGAGCTTTTATTTCATCAGCACCATTCTTGCCTAAGCGATCTTCTGGTCCTCGGCAGAGTTTAATAATAAGATCAGAGGCTTCAGGACTCAGTTTAGCTTGCGGTGGGATGTGAAGAGATGTTTGCCAGTTGATAACCTTTAAAGAAGATTTTTAAAAATTAGAAGGAAAGAGGTAAGAAAAACTTTCTCCAAGTTTTATGTGAAGAAGTCTTACTGGACTATTTGTGTCTGTGTGTTTTTAAATAAATTGCATGGTATTTCACATTCCTTACCTTTATTTTTTTGGTTTGTTTTTTGGCCACGCTACACAGCTTATGGGATCTTAGGTCCCTGACCAGGGATCAAACCCATGCCTCCTGCATTGAGAGTGCACAGTCTTAACCACTGGACTGCCAGGGAAGTCCCAGAAGTTATCGTACTTGCAAACTCTTTTTTTCTCTCTGCTGTTGAGACTGCATAATTTCTATCGATTTTTCTTTAAGTTCACTGACTCTTTCCTCTTGCCAATATCGTACCATGTGGATTAGTGTAACTTCCTCATAAGTCTTAAAATCAAGTAATTGATTCCTCAAACTCTCTTCTTTTAAAAACTTGTTTTTGTTATCAGTTTCTTTGTCTACCCAAATGAATGTTAGAATTGGCTCACCTATTCGATTGATTTTTATATATTACTCTCATACCCTACAACCATGCTAAACTCACTTATTAGTTCTGTGGAGGTTTTCACAGATTGCCTGAGATTTTCAATATAGAAAATTATGCCACCTGTGAATAAAGCAAGTTTTATTTTTTTCTAACTTTTATGCCTTTTCTTTCATTGCTGTATTACACTGGCTAAGACATCCAGAACTATGCTGAATAAGACTCAGACCAGACATCCTTGCCGTGTTCTTAATCAAGCATCCAATTTTTCACACACACAGCACCCACACAAACATATATGTATTTCTACCTATGCATTTACTTACATATATACATATGTATTAAAATGAAGGTTAAAATAAAGATAATTTCAGACAAAGCTGACACAAACCTGAGAGAATGTATTACCAGTAAACCTTTAAGAAAAGAAATTCTGAAGGAAGTTTTAAATATAATTTATTAAATAAAGTGACAGAAGTTATAACTTGAGGAGAGTGTCACAGAAAAGATAGTATGTCAAGACACGCTCAAAGAATGATTAAAAATGAACAGAAGCGAAACAGAAAGGAGGGAAAGTTGTGAAACATGGGAGAGAAAGAAGGGCATTCCAATACAAAGGGAATGGTATGAACAAGGAACAGAGGAAAGACTTGGACTTTATAGACAAGGCCACTAAAAGGTTTCTTAAAAGGGATAATTTATGATCAAAATTGCGAGCAGCTTTTCATTTAAGTGCTAGAGAGATACAGACATTTGTTAGTAATTTGGTGCAAGAATGTACGTGAAAGGAAACAAAGCCAGTAGTCAGTAGAAAGAATAAATTGGAATACATCTTCAAAAGGTACTAAAAACTTGTATGAGGAAGAACCATGAATGCAGTGTATGAATGAGGAAGGATATGAGGGTGGTAAACAGTCACATGGTGGAAATCACATGTGGAATTTTACTGGGTTCCTATATCCTTACAAGCTCATTCTTTAATTATAAATTAAGATGCTCTAAATAAAGGACTGATAAAGGTGTATGGTAATGGGGCTTCATAACAATTACTTTGGTACAGATTCTACACCTTACCTTCACTTGTGTTTCAAATGGTGTCTGTGCCAAGAAAGGAGGCTGTCCCACCAACATTTCAAAAAGAATGACACCAACACTCCACCAATCACACAACTGTGTGTAGCCTAAAATTAGACACCAAATTTATGGTTATTCATAAGCACTTTTGAAAAAACTGCTCAGAATGAATACAATCAAAATTAATATTAAATCACCAATTTATACTATAGAATTAATACTTTTATTGTAAACCTGAACCATTAGGCATATTCTCCTGTAAGTTTCTGCTGGTCTACAGGCACACTGAGATTCTTTATAAGACAAATGTTCTACCTGTTCGTAACAAGACTTCAGGCGCAATATAATTAGGAGTCCCAACCAAAGAATGTGCGAGACACCGCTGATGCTGGCGTGCAGCTCTCCGCTCCAGTGGTTTCAGTCTATCACCACATCGACAGTTAGAGGGGTCACCCCATTCATTACTGAAATCCATGCTATCTTGCCGTGGATGGTCACCTGTACAGTAAAATAAATACATAAATAAAAACAAGAGTAAACCTATCTGTTTAATCTTTAGACATCGTAGTTTAGAGTTAACAACACTTCCCCATGTTGACAAGCTAAGACACAATGTATGCCAAATCACTGATGGTATGCTTATTAATAACTAGAGACTGTACTCTTGAAATACCAATAGGACAAGGTCTTACACTAAGAAAAATTAGCCTAAGATGCAGTAATTTACTCAACAATAAATGATGACAATAAAAGTTATTGAGTAGGCAGGACTGAGAATTTGTTATTCAGGTGCTCTCCAATAGTATTCTGGACAAAGTTTCAAACAACTTAGACTTGTGTTTCATTTATTCAGCAAATGACAACAATAACAATAAAGACAATATTCATCTCTCAGGCAGGTTATCTGTAGGGGAAAAATATAACAAATACATATGTAAGAAACAGTGATGCATCCCGTACAGAGAATCAACATGCACTGCTATGGCAAATGTGCTGAGGTGACATTTGTTTAAAAAAGGAAAAAAAAGAGGAGCTCAACAATATGAAAACCAGACAAGGCATTCTACACACAACAGTACTAGAGAGGACCAGTGTGGTTAGTAAAGGGGAGAATGGAACGAAATGGAGCAGGAGACAGCGCACATGGGTTTTACAAGCAAAAGAAACAGTTTGCCTTTTACTCCCAAGTACAGTGAAGATATGGGAATATATATATATATATATATATATGTATTTATACATATGAATATACTTACATATATACATAAGTATTAAAGAAGGCATTTCTTTTTAAACACATATCAGACCTTTTCATTCTCTTGAGGTGATGAAAAGGTCTGATACATGTTTTAAAAAGAAAACTGTTAACTGCTGTATAGAGAATAGATTATAGGGAGAACAAAGGTGAAAAAGAGACCAGGTAAGAGGCTGTTACAGTTAAGTTTGGACTATGATGATAATAGTGCAGATGGAGAAAAGTGAACACATTTAGAATCAACGATGGGTGGTGGTAGTACAATTTACCAAAAGGGAGGGGGAATAAATAGGGAGGGGGAGAAATTAAGAATCGTTTATTAGCAGTGTTAAGTTTGAAAGGCCTATTAGGAATCCTTGTGAAAGGGGGAGGACATTTCTGAAGAGAGATTTGGAAGTCATTGATGCAGAGATAGTAATTAAAGCTACGACTGGATGAAATCACCTAGGGGAAAAAAATCTGAAATTAACCTAACTGTAATAAACAACTGGGATGTTTGATTAAAATCTAATTTCTACCCTCCAGTGGAGAACAATCAGAAGACTGGAATAGAGCCTAAGAATCATATTTTTAAGATAAGCCCCAGATAAGATTCAGGTAAATCTGGGGAGATATTAAATTACGCTAAACTGAACATTAAAGTAGGTTCAGATATCTTAAGTTCTATCTAATGTCAATCTGCTTGTGTTCACAAGAAGCACTGGAGGCAATAATACTTACCTCAGAGGATTGCTGTGAACATTAAATTAGAATATATATAAAGCACCTAATCATGGTAAGTATTCAACAAATGTTAGATTGACTTACACTTCCATTAGTGCTTGGAGGGATCTTGGTGAGGCAGTGTGGTATAGCAGAAATAACATTGGCCCTGTAAGCAGACAAACCTGGGTTCAAAGCCTAGCCCTTACACTTCTTTTCTGTCCGACCATGGGCAAATTTCTAACTTAGCCTCAGGTTCTTCACTCTGCCTCACAATGACATTGTGAGGATTAAAGAGAATCATGTACATAAAGTGTTTAAACAAGCTCTGTAATAGTTATACAATGGAATCCTAAAGAGCTGTGAAAATAAATGTTATATGCAGGAACACAGATGAACCTCACACAAATATAGGAAGTCAACATAAAGAATGATTACATTTAAATAAAGGTCCAAGAGTAGGCAAAATGAAGTAATATGTTGTTCAGGGATATGCATAAAAGTATACAGAAAAGGAAAGAACTGATTATGGAGTTTTGAAATAAAGGTTAACTCTATGGAGGAAAGAAAGTGAAGTGATTGTTTAGGGACTTCAAAAATACTAATAATCTAGTTCTTAAGCTGAGTGGTGTGTAGGGGGCTTCATTTAAAAATTATTTTCAAATTGTGTATGACAGAAAACTACAAAATTCTGTAAAGCAATTATCCTTCAATTAAAAAATTTTTAAAAATTATTTTCAAATTGTTATTTGTCTGACACATTTCACATTAAAATGTAAAGAGATTAACTCAAAAATGTTAATGACATTTAGAAATAATTAATTCTAACACACACTTCCATTTTATAAATCTAAGGATCTAAAGGATTCACTCACATTTATCCAATGGAGTTAAGACCTGACCCAGGACTTCTGGCTCCCATCCAGGGATAATATCATCTTATATTTTATTATACTAATAAGTCATATGAATATGTACAAATTTTATGATTTTACTCACCACTCTGGTAGTACTTAGAGTCATGTGTCCATCTGAAGCCAGTGCAGAGGCCGAAGTCAGTCAATTTAATATGACCATCACGATCAATCAAAATGTTATCAGGTTTAATATCTCTATGAATAAAACCCATTTTATGAACACTTTCAACTGCACAGGTAAGTTCTGCTATGTAGAATCGTGCCAGATTTTCTGGAAAGATGCCCATTCTAATTAATAGGCTCATCATATCACCCCCAGGAATATAGTCCATTACAAAGTATAAATTGTCTTTGTCTTGGAATGAATAATAAAGACGAACTACCCATTCGTTGTCAGCTTCAGCCAGGATATCTCTCTCAGCTTTGACGTGAGCAACTTGATTTCGAAGCAGAACATCTTTCTTTCGAAGAGTTTTTGTTGCATACAAAGCCTTGGTATCTACTTTTCTTGCTAGACAGACTTCACCAAATGCTCCTATTCCTAATGTCTTTATCTTCACAAACATAGACTTGTCCATTTTAGCCCTCTTAAGACGGATGTAATTAGACTCTTTTTGGCAAAGCATCTTTCTCATTTGATCTTGGGCATCTTGAGATAATCCAACCTAGGCAAATAAACTAAGTATTAAATGAGGAATTATCTTCTATACTAAATATTAAGAAATTGCTTGGGAAAAGTTCAGGCATATATTTAAAGGTTAAATGCATAATAATTTTTAATAAAGCATGTTAGAAATCTAGAATATATTTCAGAGAAAATTAATCATCAAAAGTGCAGCATAAGGGATAGTTAACAGGACACACAAGGTGAATACATACGCAGAGTCTGCTGTGGAGAGCAAAGAGAAAATGCTATCAACAGTCAGCTTTCTACTCCTCTCTAATGCACTAAAAAAGAGTTCCCAATGTGCAATCACCAAACACGTTAACATGCACCCTCATCTACCTCTCCCTGCATATTCATCCCAAACTACATTATCAGATTGCTTTCATTATATGCATCTACTTGTGGAATGCCCATGTCTCAAATATTCTCATTTTGGTCTTCATGAAAAGAAATTCTTCACTCCAGGTTCATTTATTCTAAAAAACTGACGTATTAAGAACAAAAGAATATCTTTTCTAATCTACCCACTCACTAATCAGTCTTTCCTTTTATCTTTTTCAGGGCATTAGAGAAAGGGTAGGACTCACAGCCATCACTAACACAAAATGCACAGAGTATGTCCTACCTTATTTCAAAGGGACTACTTGCTTGATTATAAGGTATCTTTTAGATATTTTGGAACATTTCAAAGAAGAGTCAGTGTGACTTGTGAAGATACAAAAAAAAAAAACCCAGATAAAAACAAAAACCAAAAACCAGTGTCTAAGTAGACATGGAATACCTGGATTTAGAAGGAAAGAACAGTCTATTTATGACTAGTTAATAAAGGATTAATTTAAGAATCTAAATAGAAAAGGAATTTGTTTTGAAAAGTAAAGAACTCTAGAATTGCAAGACTAATTAAAATACAGCAACCTCATGCTTCTGTTAGAATAAGCATTTGCATGCAAAATCTTTTAAGAAGGGTGGCATGCCAGACTTAGTAAACAACTGTTTCTCTTAAAATCTTACTTGCCTACACAGTAATGGAGGCTACAGAAGTCAGCAAAGCTTCCAACACCATAAAAGTTTAAATCAGCTATTAGTGAAAGTGAAGAGGAAAAAGGAAAAATAAACTAAGAAAATACATACAGACAGACTTTAGTAAGAAATCCTAAGAGCTAAATATGGATAAGCCATATACGTTATTATGGTATTTCTCACAATAAAATTCAGTTTATAGCAAGAGTAACTATACCGTGAAGTCCGATCCAGAAAAATCATTTTAAAAGAACAGCTCTCTCAAATGTCATGAGAAACTTTAACACAAATGAGCCTCTTGGATTTGGGGCAGTAGATGTAAGACTGGGAGTCAAACCTCTGACTGTAAACATGTGATAAAAGTAATAACAGTACCACCGTAGTATCTAATGAAGAGAGTTACATGGAATCACAACAGATATTAATCTAAAGTGTCTAATTATTCTGATCTCCTTTTTAGTAGATTTTAATAATTTCAGGACATTTTTCTAGTACATTAAAAAAATAAAATTAGAAAGGGAAATAACTGAAAGGAGATGTCTCTGACACTTTTAATAAGACCAGCCTGATGAATAAACCCCTAAGCCCCAAAACAACTATAATTAAAAATAAATGTTTCATAACTTTATCAAGAAATAAGGCTCAGATATTTCTGGTTTATTTTAAAATGTAAGATAATATATAAACTCTAGAAAATAACTCTTGCTTCAGTTTCCATTAAAGGGATTATGTATACCTAAACTGCATACGGCAAATTATACTTTACTTAATTTATTACAATTTTATTATAGAAAAGTCTGAGTAAATTCTGAAATGCTAAAATAAAATGGTATAATCTAAAGTATTATTTACTGACTTTTAAATGATAACACATTTAGCATAAGAAGAAAAATACTAGACCACAGTATTTTAAAAGAAACACCAAGCAAATGCATGATCAAGTATAAAAACAGAAAATTTGAAAGGTTTTATATTTATACTCAGCCGTAAAAGGAATGAAACAATGCCATTTGCAGCAACATGGATGGACCTAGAGACTGTCATACAGAGTGAAGTCAGTCAGAAAAAGAAAGACAAATATAATGTTGCTTATATGTGGAATAAAAAAAAATGCTACAAATGGACTTATTTACAAAACAGATCTAGAGTTATAGATGTAGAAAACAAACTTACTGTTACCAGCAGGGTAAGGAATAAACTGGGAGACTGGAGCTGACATAGACACACTATTATATATTACACAGAGAACAAAAACGGGCCTACTGTGGAGCACATGGAACTCTACTCAATATT